TCCCCTCCCCCCGCTCCCTCCCCCGCTCCCTCCTCCCTCCTCCCTCTCGCTCACACACACCCCCGCTTGGGCCTCCTCTCTCTCCGGCTCCATTTTCTCCGCCGCCGGGGGCCGGGGTCTCCTGTGGGGGGCCCAGCCGGTACCCCAGGTCTCCCTTCAGTGCCGGGGCGGACCCCGGGGGGGCCGCGAGGGGGGCAGACGGGCGGGGCTGGGGCGGAGGGAGCAGCGGCCCGGCGAGTTTGGGGGGAGTAACCCGGCGGGGGAGGGGCGGAGCAGGGAGGGGGCCTCAGGGCCCCCCCCCAGCCATGGACGAGCGGCTTCTGGGGCCGCCCCCTCCCGGCGGGGGCCGCGGGGGCCTGGGCTTGGTGGGTGGGGAGCCTGGGGGCCCTGGCGAGCCTCCCGGCGGCGGAGACCCCGGTGGGGGCAGCGGGGGGGTCCCGGGAGGCCGAGGGAAGCAGGACATCGGGGACATTCTGCAGCAGATAATGACCATCACCGACCAGAGCCTGGACGAGGCCCAGGCCAAGTGAGTGCCCCCACCCGGCCCCGCACGGGCCCGCCACAAGCGAGTCCTCCGGGCGCCCCCAGCTCCAGGGCCCTCGGCTCCCTTCTCCCCTGGTCCCGGGACCCCCTAGCGGACCAATTCCTCTCGGACCCCCTCCGTCCCTAGGCCCTGCACCCCGCACTAGGTGGTCCCGCTCCCCTCCCAACCTCTCGCTGACTCCCACACCGTCCTGCAGCGGCCCCTGGCTCCAGACTGGAAACTGTTCTGGGGCCCTAGTCTTCTCCCCTCACTCTGCACGCAGCCCGCCCCGTTCTTTCCAGACCTGGGGCGCCCAGGGCCCTCCCGGAGCTCCCGACACTTCTGTCCTCGGCCGCTGCTCCAGGAAGCCCCCCTGCCCCCCCTCCCTGCCCACTGTGCCCTGCTCCCTCTCCCTGCACCCCGGCCTCGCCACTCCTCCACCTCAGCCTCCCTCTCTCTCTCCCTCTCTCTCCTGGACTCTCCCTGGTCACCCTCATTTCTTCTGTCACTCCCAAACCCTTCCACAGCTTTCCAGGCCCCTCCCAGAGCCCCCAGCCCAGTGGGCAGTGCCTCCAGCCTGCACCCTCTGTCCTGAGGCCGATCGCTTCCCGGGGAGCTCCCCCAGCCCCTGCTTTCTCCTCCACAGATTCACGCACACTCACCCTGTACCCTCGTGCTCCCTCGTTTCCCTATCTCAACTTCGCTTTCCCCATTCCCATTCCTCCCAAGGAAACATGCCCTAAACTGCCACCGAATGAAGCCTGCTCTGTTTAGCGTCCTGTGTGAAATCAAGGAGAAAACTGGTATGTGGGCCCCTCGGCCATGGGGACAGAACCGTGTTCACCACGAGGCTGAGTTTGACAACTTGGGGCCCTGAGGAAGGTGGGGACCTTTGGGGCGGGGGGCGGGGGGTTGCTAAGAGGACTGGGCCAGGCCCAAGGCTGGAAACCTGGGTCTTCGGGAGGTCCGGGTCCCCTCTGAGCCGCTTTGCCTGCGCGCTAGGCCTCAGCATTCGAAGCTCCCAAGAGGAGGAGCCAGTGGACCCCCAGCTGATGCGCCTGGACAACATGCTTCTGGCGGAGGGTGTGGCTGGGCCTGAGAAGGGGGGCGGCTCGGCCGCAGCTGCTGCAGCCGCCGCAGCCTCAGGGGGCGGCGTGTCCCCGGACAACTCCATCGAACACTCGGACTACCGCAGCAAGCTGGCCCAGATCCGCCACATCTACCACTCGGAGCTGGAGAAGTATGAGCAGGTGAGACCGGGCTGGGCGGAGCGGGACGCTCGCTGGAGAGAGAGTCCCAGGGCCACAGGGCTACAGGGCCACAAGGCTCCTCCTCGCCCCGTGTCCCTGCTCCAGGCCTGCAACGAGTTCACAACCCACGTCATGAACCTGCTGCGGGAGCAGAGCCGCACGCGGCCCGTGGCGCCCAAGGAGATGGAGCGCATGGTGAGCATCATCCATCGGAAGTTCAGCGCCATCCAGATGCAGCTCAAGCAGAGCACCTGCGAGGCTGTCATGATCCTGCGATCCCGCTTCCTGGATGCCAGGTGGGGCTCAGGGACCGGGCTGGGCGCCAGCCCTGGGCACCCTCCCCTTCCTCTCTGTGCTACACAACACAGAACTCTGTGACAGTGGAGCCCCCTGGAGTTGTGCCGCAGGGCAACCCTGCCAGGACACCAACTGCCCCTCGCCCCCTCCCACCTCTGTAGACGAAAACGCCGCAACTTCAGCAAACAGGCCACCGAGGTCCTGAACGAGTACTTCTACTCCCATCTGAGTAACCCGTATCCCAGTGAGGAGGCCAAGGAGGAGCTTGCCAAGAAGTGCGGCATAACTGTATCCCAGGTGCTGTGGGGCTCGGGAAGGAGCTTGGGGCCTCAGGCTTCCCCCCGGGAAACGTTTCCACCTGACCCTCTGCCCAACACCCCAAAGGTCTCCAACTGGTTTGGGAACAAGCGGATTCGCTATAAGAAGAACATTGGAAAGTTCCAAGAGGAGGCGAACATCTATGCTGTCAAGACCGCCGTGTCAGTCACCCAGGGGGGCCACAGCCGCACGAGCTCCCCGACACCCCCCTCCTCTGCAGGTGGAGCCCACTGCCACCCCGGCTGCTTTGCACACTTCCTGCTTTTGTTCCCACTTCCTGTCTAGGCAGGATCATAGCAGAGGGAGGACTTCTGGGTGGGAGAAAGACCGAGCTGAGATAGGGTGGTGCCGTCGGGGGACAGAGGCCACTCCAGTGAAGCTGCGGCTGCCCCTCCTCCAGTGGGTGTCGAGAGGAGGCTCCGGAACAGCCTGCTTTTGCTGACCGTTGGAATGTTTTGTGGATGACTTGTGTGTAGCAGCACATACATCCCACAGAACTAGCTTACGGGCCTTCTGGAGCCCCAGAGTGGTGTTCCTCTCCTGTCTGCCATCACTGTCCCCATTATACTCCAATTCCTTCTCTCCTCCCCTCAGGCTCTGGCGGCTCTTTCAATCTCTCAGGATCCGGAGACATGTTTCTGGGGATGCCTGGGCTCAATGGAGATTCCTATTCTGCTTCCCAGGTCAGATCCTGTCAGAAACACGCCTGTCCCAAACTTTCCCCCTTTAAGATGCAGGACAGGGACCGAAAGGGTGGCTCCCTGTCACACCGTTCTCTGCTGCCCGCAGGTAGAATCACTCCGACACTCCATGGGGCCAGGCGGCTACGGGGATAACCTCGGCGGAGGCCAGATGTACAGCCCTCGGGAAATGAGGGTGAGTGGGCCCTGGGAGCCTGTCTCTGGCTGTCACCGACAGGGGCTCCACACTGGGGTTCCCAGCAGGGCCTACTCCTACTGCTCCCCCTTCTTTCCAGGCAAATGGCGGCTGGCAGGAGGCTGTGACCCCGTCCTCAGTGACATCCCCGACAGAGGGACCAGGAAGTGTTCACTCCGACACCTCCAACTGATCTCTCCCCTCAGGGTCACAGGGGTGGGGGCTGTCACAGGCAACTCATGACGAGGACGCAGGCATCCAGAGGACAAGCCCCACACAGGAGAAGCACAAGACAGAAGGGCGGATGGGGCGGCCTGGTCCCCTCCCCAGCTGGACCGTCACTGCTGGGCACTGGCGACGTCAGGGAGGACGGGCCTCAGAGGGGCGTGGGCTCTGTCTCCCCCTCCCCCCACCCTTCTCTCCCCTTCCTCTCACACCTACACGCAGCTCTGCTGTTCTCTCCCCGCCCACCCCACTCACACTGCTCTGGAATCTGGAGACGTCAGCCCTGCCCGACCCAGAGATGCCAAACATGGGGACTTGACTTCTGGACGGAGGACACAGCCGCCCCTGTGCACCCACCCTGCCCCTCCAGACGGCTTTATTACCTCATACGCAGCTCATTTTAAACCAATAGAATCGCTCGGTGGACGAGAGTGTCTGACTCAGATAACTACCTCGGAGGGAGTGTCTGCTACTTTAGGGAACTGTTGACTGGACTTTGAGGTTGAACTTTTTTTTCTTTTTTTAAAGAAAAAAGAAACCCTGGGATCCATCTGTATTTTTTGCTTTTTTTTTTTGGTTCTTAATTTTTAATTTAGTTTGGGGAAGTAGGTTTTTTAAAATAAATATGCTGATTTTTTTTTCTTGCTTTCCCATATTAGAGGTGATAGCCAAAGGGGTTCTGGGAAGAGAAAGGGAAACCAACAGAACTGGTAAAGAAGCTCAGGCCTGACCCCCGGGAGGTGACTTTATAGGACAACAAGCCCTTCCCTCTGATCACTTCCGAGTCACTTGCTTGTGCCAGCAAGTTTCTGCGGCACTCAGCACACAGGTGGCGAGGGGCTCACCCTGCTGGCCGCCTAGCCCCTCTTCCCACAACCTTTGGGCAGGGCTGGACTCAGTAACTGAGGAAATTGAAGATACCACCTTCCCGGTGTGACATGTCTTTCTTTTCTTTTTAACTAGTATTTGCAGATTGGAGAATAGGGAGGGGATTCTTGCCAAATATGTTAAATATGGGTTGGGTGCCTATTATATATGTATCTCCTTCAGTTTCCCCAGAAATGAGGCATTTTTAAGTTTTTTCTCCAAAATCGAGGTGGGTAGAGGAGGGAGGTTGGAAAAAGCCAGATGCAGGGGAAAGGTAAAAACACTGTCCCATCCTCGGCCCTGACCCATCTGACCCCTCAGACACCCTCAGGATTTTTCGAGACTGTCAGAGTGGGGATTCTCTCCTCTCAAAGACCGGGCAGGAGTGGGGGACAGTTGGGAATGTGGTGGGTGGGGTTGGGAGGCAGGGCCAGGGGCAGTTCTCTCCTCACTTGCAAACTTGTAGTTTCACAAAAAAAGAAACAATGCAGTTTTAAATAAAGAAATTTCTTTTTTCCCTGGGTTTAGTTGAGAATTTTTTTCAAAAACCAAGAAACCCTAGAAGAAATGTTTTTCTCTCACAAATCCCCCGAAGGTTTCTCCCGCCCCCCAGCCTGGTCCTGACCACACAGCCCCACGTTCACCCTGGAGACAGCCTGGCCTGAAGCCCGTAGCCTAGCAAGCTCGCCCGGTCAGGAAGGGGCTCCAGGCAGCCCTCCTGGGCCTGGTGGAATAGGCAGGGCTGTGCAGGGAATGAGGCCCTCAGAGGTGCCCTCTCCGCCCCCAGGAAGCTCCAGTGCCCAGGGGTGGGGTGAGAATTGCTTCTAGCACCTGAAGGGCTCTTGTGGAAGAGGCGTGAATTCCTAGCATTCCCTGTGACAGGACAAGATGGACACGGGGCAGGGGAGGGGGACAGGCCCCACCTAGGGCGGTGGTCACAGCAAGGGAAGGCGCAGAGAGCCAGGAGCCTGGGAAGCAAGCAGGATGGCAGCACGGGCAGCAGCGGGAACCTGGGTGTTGGTCCTCAGTCTGTGGGGTGAGCACTCCCCGTGGAAAGCATCCCACCCTCCACCTCCCCAGAGCCTCAAGCTCCCTCACCCACCTTTTCCTAATGGGCCCGGGCTCCCTTCCGGCCCCTACCACGGGGTGTCCCTCAGGGGCAGCGGCAGCAGTGGGCGGCCAGAACGTCACAGCCCGGATCGGGAAGCCGCTGGTGCTGAACTGTAAGGGGGCCCCTAAGAAGCCACCGCAGCAGCTGGAATGGAAACTGGTAAGCAGGGCTGCTTGGCCTCCCACCCTCCAGAGCCCTGTGAGGGTTGGCATGCACCGCCCTGCCTCGCCAGCCCTGTCCCAACGGCTTGAGCTGCAGCCTTCCCTGTCTCCAGAACACAGGCCGCACGGAGGCGTGGAAGGTCCTCTCCCCACAGGGAGGCCCCTGGGACAGCGTGGCTCGTGTCCTCCCCAACGGCTCCCTCCTCCTTCCGGCTGTTGGGATCCAGGATGAGGGGACTTTCCGGTGCCGGGCAAGGAATAGGCATGGAAAGGAGACCAAGTCCACCTACCGGGTTGGAGTCTACCGTAAGGGCCCTTCCACCTCTAAGGAAAAGCCTTCTCTCCCAGCCCTCGGCTCCCAGGCCCCGGTGTGAGGACCCCTGACTTCTGCCGTCCCCATTCCCATACCTGGGTGCACGAAGTTTCAAAGCAGCAGCCTCTGACTGGACTTTTCCCTCCTTCAGAGATTCCTGGCAAGCCAGAAATTGTAGATCCTGCCTCGGGACTCATACCTGGTGTCCCCAATAAGGTAGTGGACAAAAGTGGAGAAACAGAAAAGAGTCCCGTGAATACACCTGTGTCGGGCAGCGTCTCCCATTTCCAAAGGATGGTGAGATCGCCACTCTTCCCCAGGTGGGGACGTGTGTGTCCGAGGGAGGCTACCCTGCAGGGACTCTCAGCTGGCACCTGGATGGGAAACCCCTCGAGCCCGATGGAAAAGGTGAGCCCCAAAGTGCCCCCACGCCAGCTGGCTTCTTCCCACTCTCCCACACCCAGCGGGCTTCTCCCCTCGTGCCCCCACCTAGGAGTGGCTGTGCAGGAACAGACCAGGAGACACCCGGAGACTGGGCTCTTCACTCTCCAATCGGAGCTGACGGTGACCCCGGCCAGGGTGGGGGCCACCCGCCCCACCTTCTCCTGCAGCTTCAGCCCAGGCCTTCCCAGGAGCAAGGCCTTACACGCTGCTCCTATCCAGCCCAGTGTCTGGGGTGAGCAGGGGGGTGCAGAGAGCCCCAAGTTCAGTGGAAGTATGGTTTCCAGGCAGCCAGGGGTCAAGCCCACGGCCACCAGGACCAGTCTCATACCTTCCGTCCCCAGAGCCTGTCCCCCTGGGGAATGTGCAGCTGGTGGTGGAGCCAGCAGGTGGAACAGTAGCTCCTGGAGGGTCGGTGACCCTGACCTGTGAAGCTCCTGCCCAACCCACTCCTGAAATCCACTGGGTGAAGGACGTGAGTGGCCTGGAGGGGCTGGGAGGTAGAGAGAGCCCTAACTGGCAAGTAGAGAAGAGCTGAGCTAATGGAGGGCAGGTGGGCAAGGAGCTGAGGCAGAAGACAGGGCGTCTGAGGCTGTGGAGACCAAAGGCCAAGGTGGGGACCGCTGGTCTAGGGCACAAGGAAGGTCTCCTCCCTCTCCTCCAGGGAGCGCGCCTGTCCCTGCCTCCCAGCCCTGTGCTGCTCCTCCCTGAAGTCAGGCCCCAAGACCAGGGGACCTACAGCTGTGTGGCCATGCATCCCAGCCACGAGCCCCAGGAAAGCCCTGCCGTGAGCATCAGCATTGTGGGTGAGGCTCCCCACACCCCAGGGACCCTGGGGCTGGGCTGAGGACACAGCAGGCTCCAACTCCCTAACCCATTCCGACCCTGTCCCCAAGAGCCACCCCACCTCCCCCAGTCACCCACACCAGGCCTCCTGCACCCCACCCGATCAACCCAGCCTCTCCCTCTGAACTGAAGAAAAGGAAGGACAGCAGAGGGTCCCACAGCCTTCCCCGACTGAAGCCCTTTTTCCCTTCTGACTTGCTCCAAATTTGTCTTCCAGAAACAGATGAGGAGGGGCAAGCTGCAGGTGAGGGGCTGGGGTAGTCAGAGATGCAGGCAGGGGGTCGACCAGAAAGGAGTGGTGAGTGGCGAGGCAGTGCCCTCAGCTTCCCCGTCTCCCTGCAGGCTCCGTCGGGGGCTCCGGGCTGGGAACTCTAGCCCTGGCCCTAGGGACCCTGGCAGGCCTGGGGATAGCTGCCCTGCTCACTGGGGTCATTGTGTGGCGAAGGAGGCAACACCAAGGAAAGGAGAGGTAAGTGAGGACAGCCGGACACCTCAGACTTGGGGCTTCCGGGCGGCAAGGGAGAGGCTGGGGGCTGGGGAGAGAACAGTGCTAGGAGCCACGTGTGGGATTCTCCCCAACCCTCCTCAGGAAGGTCCCAGAGAGCCAGGAGGAGCAGGAGGAGCGTGCAGGGCTGAACCAGTCAGAGGTGCCCGAGACAGCCGGGAGCAGCACAGGAGGGCCGTGAGGTGAGGGGCCCCGGGCAGACCGGCCATCGGCTCCCTCGCCTTCTCCCTGGACCACACTGGCCCCAGACCAGCTCTCCCGTCACTCGCCCCAGCTCGCCACACTTCCTTCCACAACCAGAGCCCTTCATGAATGGACCATGCCAAGTAAACACCTCACACATCTTGCCAAGTACACTGTGTGTGTGGGGGTGGGTGGGATATAGACAGAGACAGACAGACAGACTCACCCACTGCACCCCTGAGAGCTGCAAAGGAGAGGGGCTCACCACATACATCTACGAAGGTTGGGGAGGTGAGGCTTCCATTCTAGAAAGAACTTGGAAAAGTCCTCATCAATACATTTCACCTTTTTTATTGAATTTGTAATAAAGGAGGTAGTAGGAGGGGTGAACACTTAGAATCACAACCCATATTAGATACTGGGGAGAGAAAAATTAAATTAAATCAACAAGAGGAAGAGCAGGGAGAGTCAGAAGGAGCCTTGCCCACCTTTCAACATCAAATCCAGGAATCTGAGGGAAAGTGAAGGATTATGAGAGAGGACAGACAGACACTCCCTTCTGTCAGCCCTCCTCGCCACGGCTGGGGTCCCCGGCAGCAGTTCAGAGCACTGGGGTCTCCTCTGGTACACAGCTGTCACCCTTCTCCCCACGCCCTCCCGGGGAGCGGCCAGGCTTAGCCCTCCAAAGAAAACAGGGGACGGGGGTCCAGAAGTTAGGAAGGGTCAGCAGAGACCCCCAATACTGATTCTCCTCTGGCTGGAGGTGGGCAGGAAGGAGACACAGCTCAAATACTGAGCAGCCAGAAAAAGAAGAAGATGGCGAGAAACAGGAAGAGGGAATCCTGCCAGCTGGAGGCGGGGTGACCCTGGCCCAGATCCACACCTGTGGGGAGAAAGACAGCTGCGGAAGCATGCAGCCCTAGGCCGTGGGGGAGCTGGGGGGGCACTGCGCGGGGCCTCCGGGCGGGCAGCTCAGGGAGGACTCTCACCTGCACCCCGGCGGAAAGGCTCGTGGATATTGAAGACAGTGGTGAAAAAGCCGAAGGGGAAAGCACCGACACCAAATGAGAAGTGAAAGCCTCCGGTATCACCAAACGGCTGGAACCCCTGGGGAGGCAGGAGAGTCAGGGAAACCAGGCACATCACTGTCAAGGAAGGGACACAGCTAGCCAGGAACTCACCCCTCTGCTCTCTGGAGCCGGTCGCTGGCCCTGGGGACGGGGTGGAGTTTTCAGTCTGAGGGCCAAAGAGAGAGACCATTAACACGGAGTCTTCCCTCCCCTTCGGCACCGTCTTACTGGAGCAGAATCCTTCCGTCTTACCCCAGCAACACCTGCAGTCTCTCACCTGGGATCCTGGGGCTTCTGGCTCCCTCGACCATAGAGCGGGACAACCTTCTCTCTGCTGATGCCGGCTTTACACACTGGGCACTCTTGCCGATCTGGCCGTGTCTCCAGCCACTGGGGAGAAAAGATAAAATGGCTTCAAGTGCACAAAACGGGTCTCCCAGCTCCTCAGGCCGCCTCATCCCTCTCTTCACTTCCCCATACACACCTGATGCAGACAGGGCCAACTGGATAGGAGGCAAAAAAAAAAAAAAGCGAAAAAGTCAAACTAGCAGCAGAAAAGAGAGACACAGATCTCAGACTTCACCGAGTCTCATTTCACCTCTCCCCAGGTACTGTATTATCTATTTCCTTTTATATTTTCTGCAACCTCTACCATGCCAGCCAACTCAGCCTTCCTGCTTCTCTGATCTTCCAGTACCTAAAGCTCCACGCATCCTCAACACACTCAGCCCTCTCCTCACTCCTCTCCCCTGACACACACAAAGTCTCATTCCCTCCCTCTCTGCCTTCCAACTTAATTTCCAATTAGCTTCAACCCACTCCTTTCCAGGTCTCTCTCAGCCCCAGCCCCATCCTGATCCCCACCTCTCCGAACCAAACCTCCTTTCCCAGCACGTTCTCCACTGCTCCTTTTCCTCTCGCTTTCAAGCTTATTAAAGTCCCGATTTCCACGGCCCCGTCACCTCTCAGTTGTGTCCCTCCACAGGGCCCTTATCCAGGTCTGTCATCATTAGCCCTCCCCGATCTCACCTGTGTATGAGCCCATGTGCCCTGGGTCTCCCCTGCTCGCCTGATGAGTGCCCTCCTAACCTTTAGATCTCATCGTTTCTACTTGTACAACTAAGAAACTCTTAACTTCCCTGGAGTAAGTTGGTTCGGGTCTCTCGCCTGTACAGATGTCCCCTTACTCTCCACCCCACCTCCTCCGTATAATCCACCACACACGAACCACCTCCTAATTTCTAAGACCCCCATTTTCACACATCTGCACAGAAGTGATCCACCCACCCACACATACCAGAGAGGACACACATGCCTGCCTTCCTCGGGGCTCCCCTATGGACTGTGCCCTCCGATTACCTGTATGATCGTATGGTCCCCCGCTCCTGGCGGCCCCAGTACAAAGATGCACCCCACCGCTTTCTGCCCCGTCCCAGATGCTCACCAGTACAGGTGGCCACACACACTGACCACAGCTTCCCGAGCGGTCTCCAAACATATATTACATTCGAAGGTCGCGCCCGCCCCGCCCCGCTCGCCGTTTGGCCCTTCGGGGCCCCCGTCCTCCTCCTCTGCTGCTGCCATGGCCGGTTCGGTTTCGCCCCCGCGTACCCCTCAGTCCCCCGAAACACACATACACACGCCCCAACAAACGAGAGACTGCCTCCTGCCCACGGTCATTGGGCAGGCTTCAAGGTTTTCTACACTCTATTGGTCTGAATACCTACCAATCATGTTGTACTCTAAAGAAAGGATTGGGCTAAAGGATGAGGGCGGGAAAAGGCTTGCGCGGCCCTACCCTTGCACAATGGTTATTGGCTGGTACAGCCGCACTCAGCATGCAAGGCCGCGCGATTGGTAACAACTCGCTGTCCCGGCTCCATCGCCGGCCAGGAAGAGTTTAATTCGTCTGAGTAGCTGCCAGTTATAACCAAAGGCCAAAAGCAATTGGTTCGGGACCGATAGATCTCGCCCCCTCTAAACCCCTCTCTTTCGTTCACTTCCTCTTTCGAAGAATGTCCGGATTCTTATTGGACTTTGGAGTATACGGCTCCAAAGCACGTGATTGGCTAGAACTCCAAGGAAAATGGTGGTTAGAAGAAATACGCCTGCGCAGCACGCAGCGGAACTGGGTAAACCGATTGTGAAGGTTGAACCTTCTGTGATCCCACCCTTCATCGCTATTTTGTTGCCATGGTGACTACAATTGGCTGGGCCCGGTTCAAAGCCCGCGTCTCGGCCTCATCCGGGTCCTCTGGTGGTGGACTCTTTTGGCTGATTGGGCCATTTCTTTCGCCTCTGATTGGCCGAGAGCGGGAAAGCCGGCTCAGAGCTCGGAAAAAAGCAGAAATACTAGGGTCTCCGGGTTCAAGATGGCTCCGTCCTCCTTAGGTGACGTAGGGGACAGAGCCTGGGACCTCCCCTCCCTTTTAGTGAAGGGAGCAGAACAAGCATTAGCCCGACGCCTGGATGGTGCGAGCATAGACCTGCGGCGCCGGTTTTAACCCACCTCCTCGGCTGGACAACTCAGCCTATCCTCTAGGTGACCGAGCAGGACTGAACTACAGCTCACCCATCCACTTTTTAATGTGACGCTGAGAACAGGGTCAGCCTCGACTCCGCCCTGAACTATAAGAGCAGAGAAGGTCTAGCCCACCCCTTCATGAGGAGGCATATAGTAGGCAAGGCCGGGCCCTTTTTAAGTGACCTGCGCCAGAATAGGGTTAGTTCCGCCCATTCCTCCTTGTAACCTGCCCGGCAGAGCCGGGGACCTCCTGGGCTGGACGCCTAGGAGCTTTGGCCTTTCCTACTGTCAGTGACCCTCGCTGTGGTTCAGGGATCAGAATCTGAGTAACAATCCTCCCATTGTCAACAATCTTCCCATCCTCTTCTCCAGGGTGTGTATACTCAAGCAAGGAAAAGGTGGGGGGTGGGGGGAGATTGCCACAGGCTGAAAGATGCTCAGCAACACCCTGATAAAAGGTCCCATGTGACTCAAGAATAAGAAAAGATGAAGTCAGGCGTGGTGACGCACGCCTGGAATCTCAGTGCTCGGGAGGCTGAGGCAGGAGGATCGCCGAGATTTTGAGGCCAACTTGGGCTACATAGTGAGTTCAAGGCCAGCCTGAATTACATAGAGACGCTGCCTTTAAGAATAAAAAGAAAAAGAGAAGATGAGAAATGGGGAGTTGTGTAGAGAAGAACAGGGAAAGTAAGACTCAGATTTAGGAAAGAAGGTATTGAAATGGAGACAAGGAGGGAGGAGTAGGTAAAGAGAACAGGAGTAGGTAATGGTAATACAGAAAAGAGGGGAGCAGGGGCTGCAGAGCTGGATACAGGGCTACAAAATTAAGAGGGCAGTCATCTGAGACGAATTAGCATTCTCCCCCACCCAAAGGAAGCAGTGCCTCAAAGCCCAATTTCCATTGCAAGAAAAGATCCACTCAGATTCTGTGTTGGGGAGAAGGGTTGCTTCAGCTTGAATAAGGAGGCTAACAGGAGGAACTGGGAAAGAGGTAAACCAGCGAGGACGGGAACTGGAGCAGGAGTGGGCCAGAGAGGGTGAGTGGAGGAAGGCGGGCTGCGGGGATGGGGTGGGGTGAGGTGGGGTACAAAGGGCAAAGGGATCAGACCAGAGTGCTGGAGGGCGAGGTGGGGAAGAGATGGAGTCCTGAAGGGGAAAAAGAGGGTAACTTCGTGCTCGGAATATAGTAGGTGCTGGACAGAAGGACACAAATATCGCGGCGGGGGGGGGGGGCAAGAAAAGGGTCGTGAAGAGTTGGGAGTTGAACGGACCGAGCAGATCCTGGAGTTCAGGAGAAAGGAAGAAATCAGAAAGGGACGAAGGAAACGTGGCAGTACTGGGAGAGCTGGTGTAGAATGAGAGAAAGGAATGCGCCGAAGGAGGAATACAGCGGCAGCAGGGCGTTCACAGCCGTTTGTGCTGAAAGGGTCGGGGGGGAAAAAAAGATGCAGCTGGAAAAAAAGATGCAGCTGGAGCCGAGGCCGAAGTGAGCCGAGCTCTCGCGGGGCGGAGCTGGCTAGAGGATGCGGCGACTAGGGCGGAGACACCCGGGTCTCTGAGAGGCGATTGGCAGAACGGGCCGCCCATCACCGCCTCCCACTTCCTGGTCAGCCCCGGAAGCCAGCGGCGCTGGGGAGGGGCGGGGGAGATAGCGGCGCCAGCTGCCCCAGCCCTCAGAGACCGCGGGAAGGGAGGGCGGGGGGACGACCCCCCACCGTTCCTACCGCGATGGGCCCGGCCTTCCACCCCCACCGCCCCTCCACCGGCCGGGGCTAGGATACCCCCAAGTCCTGTCGCCCCCTTGGCACCGACACCCCGGCCGAGAGACACAGCCAGCCGCCGCCACCGCCGCCGCAGCCCGGCTGGGGAGGGGGCCGCCCCCGGGCCCCCCACCCCTCTGAGGTGTGGGCGGGTAAAGGGTGGGAGGCGGAGGGCGGAGGGTGCCGAAGGACGTGGACGAGGGGTGGGGATGGGGATGGGGCTGGGGGGCGGCCGGGAGAGGTTGCTGGGGAAGGAGAGGCCCGGGAGGAAGAATGCAAGGGCCTGGGTGGGAGGGGGCATGGAAGCTGAACTGGGGCCGGTTGTGGGCGGGAGGCGGGGAGAGGGGCTCCCTGTGGCTCCCAGTTGCTTCTCCTGCCCGTTGGCCCCACATGACTTTTGGGGGTGAGAAGAGAAGCGGAATGCCTTCCTGGGAATGCCCTCAGGCACCCCTGTTTCCTGTGGGCTCTGAACCTCTGTCTCTGCGGCCTGCCCGAGACCCTCGTTGACAGACACCTCGACGCCTGTGGGGGCTGCGTTTTCCTTGTCGCCTGTGCCTTTGACATGTTAATGGCTTGTGTGCCGCTGGCTTGCCCCTGTGCTATCCCACAGGCTGCAGAAAAATGATTTTTTTTTCCCTTCAGAATTGCCCATTCTCGAATATTGTGTCCATATCTCACATGTAGCTTGGAGATGTTCGAGGACCGCATGTGTTTTTTTATTGTACCTGTGTGGTTTCATGTTTCTCACGTTTTCTGTTCTTGCATGTTGATTTGAGCACAGAAAGTTTACATACCTTATTTGCTTTGGGCTCAGTCCTATGTCCATGGCCCCTGTCCGCAGTAGGCCTGGGTCCCGGGGCTGGGGCCCAGTGCACACAGGACTCTCACCTAGTGATTGGACCGGCCTGTTTTCCTAGTTAGGGTTCTTGCCACATGTGTTTGCACAGGGAGCTTCACAGGAAAGCTGATGTGACATATACATAGTGCGCGTGTTCTGGTCACGCCTACCATTTATTTCAAACCTTCTTGGTCAGTGTAACCCATTTGGTGCTTCATTGGATGTTTCTGTCTCCTAGGCTCCCTTAATATCACATAGTAGGGAAGGTAACTGGTCCCCGAGTCCCCACTGGCCCATCCTTACATGCTTACCTCGCCGGCCTCCTAGCCTTCTGCACGCACTATGCCTCCACCTGCTCCATAGAGTTTGGGTCTGTGGGCTCCACTGCATGTCACAGAGTCGGCCCAGCTGTGAACCTGGTGATGTGCCCCACCCTTTTGCACTGTGGGCACTAACTGATGACAGCAGTATCTTCCCCTGGTGGCACCTTGATACTATTTCTCTTTCTTTGGGAAGTCACTGCCTTCCCTGTGGCCGTGTGTGTGTGTGTGTGTGTGTGTGTGTGTGTGCATGCACACCCATACAGAATAGACTGGGTGCAGTCAGTATTTTCTTCCTTTCTTTTTTTTTGGTACTGGGGATCGAACTCAGGACCTTGCACTTTCGAGGCAGGCAGCTGCACCACTGAGCTAAATCTCCAGCCCTGGATTCAGAATTTTCTTAGTGACTCATTTTCACAGCGAATATTCCTCAAGAGGGTAGCTGTCTGATTCATGATCAGAGCCACTATCTCTGTCATTAATTATGGCTATGGGTGTGTATACAGCCCTATAATCTGTTCAGCCAGAGTTTATTGAGCACCTGGTCTACCTTCTCCTGCCATTGGAGAAAAGACACCCCCTGTCCTCGAGTTGCACACAGCTTTGCAGCCAGGAGGCGGGTGCCAGTGAGGGGGCCCATGCTGTAGGGTGGTGTCCTTATCAGCGCTTCTTGACCTGAGTGCAATCACACTCACCTGCAGAGTTTGTTACAGTACAGACTGCTTGGCCTGCTGCCCAGGATTTCTGATTTGAGTATATCTGGGTGAGGTCCAAGAATTTGTATTTCTATACCAGGAGCACCACTGAGCAAGACAAAGGTTATCAGGGCCAGGGATTTAGCTTAGCGGCACCGAGCCTGCCTCAACAGCTCAAGGTCTTGAGTTCAATCCCTGGTACCAGGAAAAAAAAAAAAAAAAGACAGATGTTATCGGAAAAACACAGGCCTGCGGGGGTTCCAGAACTGGGCTGAGGGTGGCAAGAGAGGAGGCAGAGAGGGCGTTCCCACCCAGGGCAAGAGCGCATTGGAGGCATGAAGGTTCGTGGCAGGGAAGCGAACTTGCATGGGTCTGAACTTTTGGGCCAGTGAGATGGGGCAGCCAGAGGGCCTGTGGCCCCAGTTTCCTCCACTACCCCTTCCTTTATCTCTCACCTCTTACAGGGCTCTGGCTACAAGGGACCCCATCCGTCTGTCTGTCTGTGGGTCGGTCGGTCAGTCAGTCGTCGCCAGTGTCAACTGTAAGTGGGGCGGGATGGAGGAAGGAGGCGGGACCTGGAAGGCAGGTTCTGCTGCCCACACCCCTTCTGCTCCGGAGCCAAGCCAGTGGTGTGATGTTCCTTTCCTTCTCTGCCTCCTCGTCCTGTATGAGGAGGCCTTACCCCTACCTGGCTGCCCACATTGCCACCGTATGGCTTGCCTGGCTGCAGAAATAAGGTTGGGGGTATCTGGGAATGGAAGAGGCTGCCTTGCGGGGAGAGGGATTTTTCTAGGCATGTGTTTATGTTCCTCTGTGTGTCACTGTTGATAGATGTGTGTGTGTGTGTGTGTGTGTGTGAACCCGTTGGTCTTTGCATGACTATGTGTGTTTGTTTGCATCAACAGTGTGTTATTCTTTCTCTGGGGCACTCATGGGTGTTTTGTCGCTGTCGGTAAGTATATCTGCCATGTGTGCACTCACAGGTGATAGCAAAAATGAGGGCTTAGGTGCCCAGGCTGCTTAGATTTGATCTAGAAACTGCTACTTAGGAGCTGTATGACCTCCGGTAAGTTCCTTAATCTCTCTGAGTGTATTTCCTGTAAAACGTTAAATACTAATAATGCTTTTAATAGATTACTGTATGGATCATATGTAAGAGTTTAATGGAGATAGACCAGCACTACCGAGTAGAAATAGTATGTGAGCCACATGTATAATTTTAAATTTTCTGATAACTACATTGAGAAAGGTAAAAAGAAACAATGAGGGCTGGGGATTTAGCTCAGTGGTTTCGCTGCCTGCTGTGCAAGCGCAAGGACCTGAGTTCAATCGCCAGTACCAAAAACCAAAAAAAAAAAACAATGAATTTAATCTGAATAATATACTTCATGGAACGTAATATATCCAAAAGGAATCAACATGAAAGATTATTAGTGGCATACTTTACATTTTCGTTTTTCACCCAGTCTTTAACATCTGATGTGTATTTTGCATTTCCTGCATACCTCGCTGTGGACTGGCCACATTGCAGGCACTCCGTGGCCACGTGTGGCTGGCCGCCACTGTTTGTGGACGACTGTGAGACCTTTTGCAACTGCAGTCATTAGCTATCATCATTAGTGTTGTGTTATTACAACATATGTGCAAGCTGTGGATGTCTGGCCTGTGACTCTCTGACCTCTGAATGTGCCGGGAACCCTAGGGAGGTGGTGGCAGGGACTGTCCGTCCTCCAGAGGCTTCCTTCCCACAGGGCCCTGCCCTGCGTCACTGCCCCGTAGAAACCAGGCTCCATCCTCGGCCCGTCTCCTGCAGGTGACCAGAATGGAGCTGTGGCCCGGGGCATGGACGGTGCTGCTGCTGCTGCTGCTGCTTCTGCTGCCCACCCTGTGGTTCTGTGCCCCCAGTGCCAAGTACTTCTTCAAGATGGCCTTTTACAATGGCTGGATCCTCTTCCTGGCTGTGCTCGCCATCCCTGTGTGTGCTGTGCGGGGGCGAAACGTTGAGAACATGAAGTGAGGGGCCAGGGGTGCAGGGTGATGGGGAACCTGAGGGTGAGGGCTGGTGGGGTGCATGGAGAGGAGAGCAGCTGAGCCTAGGGACAAGGGGCGGGGGCTGCAGAGATGGCCGGGAAAGGGGCAGGGGCTGGTGCGTGGGGCCTGCAGGTCAGCACCCGTGGATCCCACCCGCCACACCCCTTATTGTGATCCCACAGGATCTTGCGTCTAATGCTGCTCCACATCAAGTACCTATACGGGATCCGAGTGGAGGTCCGAGGGGCTCACCACTTCCCTCCCTCACAGCCCTACGTCGTGGTCTCCAACCACCAGAGCTCCCTCGACCTGCTCGGTGAGACCCCCGGCAGCGCGGGGCCCCGAGCCACGCGCCCTCTTGGCACTCTCCTCTGCTGGGAGGTGTTGCTCCTCCTCAGGCAGCGCTGCCCTCCTCAGCCAGGTGCCTGTATCTGGTCCCCCCTGCTTTTACGAGGCTCCTGTGTCTCCAGTCCCTGCTGCTGTGGGTGATGACCTTAGTGAGGTAACCCGCCTGCTGTGACACTGTCCCCGCTCTAACCCTGCCCAAGGGATGATGGAGGTGCTGCCAGGCCGCTGTGTGCCCATTGCCAAGCGTGAGCTGCTGTGGGCGGGCTCTGCTGGGCTGGCCTGCTGGCTGGCCGGAGTCATCTTCATCGACCGGAAGCGCACGGGAGACGCCATCAGTGTCATGTCTGAAGTCGCCCAGACCCTGCTCACCCAGGACGTGAGTCAGCTGGAGAGGTGGGGCTTGGGGAGCTAGAGAGTTAACTGATCCACCTCACTCCACTCTGACCCCTGCGTACAAGTGAGTCGTCTTTGTACTCTCTCCCCCAGGTGAGAGTCTGGGTTTTTCCCGAAGGAACAAGAAACCACAATGGCTCCATGCTGCCCTTCAAACGTGGCGCCTTCCATCTTGCAGTACAGGCCCAGGTGACTGCTGCTTCCCCTTCCACTGCTCAGCCCCCAGGCCCTGCCCTCGCTCCCTCTCCCGGCAGAGGCTCTGTCCCAGAAGACAGCCGTGGCCTGATTGGCCTTCTCTGTCCCACAGGTTCCCATTGTGCCCATAGTCATGTCCTCCTATCAAGACTTCTACTGCAAGAAAGAGCGCCGCTTCACCTCAGGTGAGGGCCCTGAGCGCGCAGCGGGGAGGGGGCAGGGTGTGGCCAGAAACGTGGGAGGGGTCACTGTGAGGCAGGGCGTGCTTTGGTCAGGGCCAGAAGGCATCTGTCTGGTCATCTAGTCCGACCCTACTCCGGCACTGAGTACTCAGTAAGCACCCGGCGTACTCTGCTCCATGGGCAGTACTTGGTCTCTCCAGAAGGGGCTGACACAATCTAACAAGGAAGTGAAGCCCGGTGTGCCAAGCTGTAATGAAGCACGCTTAGCAAGAAGTGCTAGGCCCAGGGAGAGAGGGCCGAGGGGTGGGGAGGAGGGTTTTGGCCCGGGTTTGGGGACACTCTGGACAGGAGGGCTCAGAGCACCAGGCAGCTGGCTAGAGAGGGGAGCGGTGAGGGCTCAGGGAAGAGAACTGAGGGGCAGGACAGGCCGTGATGGTGCCCCTCATCACACCAGGGCGGTGTCAGGTGCGGGTGCTGCCCCCGGTGCCCACGGAAGGGCTGACACCAGACGACGTCCCCGAGCTGGCTGACAGAGTCCGGCACTCCATGCTCACCATCTTCCGAGAAATCTCCGCTGCTGGCCGGGGAGGTGGTGACTGTCGGGAGAAGCCCGGGGCGCTGGGCGAGGCCCGGCTCTGAGCCCCCGTCCCGCTCTGTCCCGCTCCGTCCCGCTCCGTCCCGCTCCGTCCCGCTTCCTCCCGCTTCCTCCTCACCCTGCCAGCCCAGTGGCCCGGAGGTGGCCAGCTCCTCCTCCTCCTCCCCGTCCCCCCTGCTCCCTTCTGGAGTCTTCAACTTTTGAAGTGAATGTGGACCCAGGCTCACACCGGCCCTCCTGCCCCACCCACAGACTCCCGCCTTGCCTCGGCCTCCACTCTGAGCCCACCTCGCCATCTTGTCTGTGACGTTGCCCCCTCATCTCAAGTGGCTCATCCGACTCAAGGCGGGGCGACATTCCGTCTCTTCCCACCCCGTGGGCTCTCCTGCGTGCCCTCCCTCTCCACTCCACATTGGCCAGGGAACTCACGAGTTCTGTGGAACAGTCCAGCCCTCACCCCCAAGCCCCGGGACTCAACGCCTCCCCCTGCCCGGAAGCTCAGACCTGGAACTCACCTCCCAGGCTCGCGCTGGGAACCTGCCTCAGCCTTCATACTCCCGGTGAGCCCCCCAGAGGGGCTGGACTCTTCTCACTCACAGGTCCCGTCCTGCCCTTGCCAAGATGCCCAGGCTGGGGCACACTCCTGGGTGCCACTTGGGTCTCCAGGTTCCCGCTTCCCGCCCATGGTCCATTCCTCAGTGGTCCGGACCCAGCCAGCCCCTGCACCACCCTAAGCAGACCCTGGGGCAGAGGCAGAGCTCAGGTGCTGTGCTCACCTCTCCCTGGGGTTCGGGGAGAGGAACTGGACCCTGCTGGGGAGGAGAGAGGGGAGCATTTAATTTATTTCTCTTTGTTTTGAGGCTTCCCCTCTGAGAGCTCTTCATTTCCGGAAGTGGCATTGGCTGCTCCCTTCCCCCCTCCAGACCTGTTCCCATGACCCGGGAGGTGGCTGGGACTGCAAGGAGAGGGGGAACCCAGTTTCACGTGGTTGGTTTTTATTAATTGTCTGGATAACAGCAAGCCGCTGAGAATAAAGAGAGAGAAAGGTGGGTGTCTTCTGGCTGAGTTTGTTAAGGCGCTAGACAAGCAGACCCGGCCCAGCAGCCCGCCCGGGCAGCAGGCTGGCTGCCAGTATTGCCGTGCGTGGCTCCTTGTCCCTCCATCTGGATGGCTTCGTCTGCAGCTGCTTGGCCAGTCCCAGGAAATTAGTCGATGGTTTCTGTATAAATTAGGGGAGAGGCTACGGAGGCTTCTTATCCGGGGTTGAGGCCAGTACCCAGGCTGTTGTCCTCACAGGAGCCTGATTGATGAGAGGGCAGGCATGGCGGCTGTGCCATCTGCAGGCCGCCCTCACCCACGAGTCCGTGAGATGGGGCTGCGCTCAGTGAGATGAAGCCCAGGGAAGGCCGGGAGTGGGGCGGCGGGACTCACAGGCACCCAGCCTCTCTTCCAGCAGCAGCACCTGGTCGCTGAGAGACTCAATCCTGTCGGCCCGGGCCCACAGCTCTGCCACCTGCTCAGGCTGCAGCTCCTCGGGCGGTATGGGCAGCACGGCGCGAACCCAGGCCCCAGCCTGGCTGGCCCACTGCAGGGCAGGAACGGGACGCTCGGGCCGGCCCCATGGCGAGAGGCTCCCAGCCGCAGGCTCTCTCCCGCTCGCTCGCTCCCGCCCGCCCGCCTGGCTCACCAGCTCCAGCCGCTCCAGGCGCCCTCGCAGCTCACCAACCTCCCGCCTCAGGGCTCTCTCCTCGCCTTCCTCCTCGGCTTCCCGGACTAGGACACAGCACGGCATGGCACGGGAAAGTGACCCCGCCCAGGCGCCAGCTGTGCCCTGGCTGCCCGGTCCCTGGCCCACACTCACCTGCCACACTGAGGATGCTGGCGCTGGTGGGGCGCCCCGGGGCGCGCTCGGTGCAGGTCAGCCCTTCGGGACCCAGCACTTGACCTTGAGGGCAGCTGCAGGTGAAGCTGCCCGCAGTGTTGAGACAGCGGTGCGAGCACAGGGCGATTCCGGCCCTGCACTCATCCACGTCTAGTTACCGGAGAGAGGAGACAGCAGAGGGCTGGGGCGGGCCCTCACTCCCGGGGACCCCGCCCTGCGCGCCCCGACTTACCCACGTGGCAGTGCCTCCCGCCCCAGCCTGCCGCGCACTCGCACTGGCTCGGCCCCACGCAGACGCCTCCGTTCTGGCAGGGCTTGGCACAGACGGCTGTAGGGGGTGTGGCAGGGGGGGTCAGACCCTGACCCCACGGGGCTCCCCAAGTCCCCGCAGGGCCCCGAACACCTGGTCTCACCTTCACAGGTGAGCGCCCCCGGGTGTCGCTTCTTCCAGCCCTGGCAGCACACGGCATGGGTCTGCCGCACCTCGCGCCTCACCTCCCGCCAGGCCACGCGGTACGTGGTCCTAGAACACAGCGCCAGGCTCAGGGCCCCGGATGCAGGTTCTGCCGAGGATTTGGGGTGGCTTTGAGAGACCCCTGATCTCAGCCACCCCTCCCTCACCTGTAGGTGCTGCAGATGCGCCTCCCAGCGCACAGGGTCAGGTAGGGCTTGTACACTGGCTGGCTGTAGGACTCGTTGTAGCGGAGTGGGACCACCACCGTCTGCTTGGAGCAGACCCCCTGTCTGCATCCAGATCGGGAGAGCAGGTGGGAGACACTGAATGGGCCAGGCCTCTGGAAGCCAGGGTCCCACCTCCTGAGCAGCCACAGGGCCCTGCGGTCCGTCTCCCCCCCGCCCCTGTTCCAAACTCAACTGCCCCCCCCCCCGCGCCCCGTGAAGCCCGACCCCCAGCAGAAGGCACCACCAGGCTTCCCCCAGGCCCCGCCCTCAGCTGTCACCTCTCCTGGAGGGATCCACCCTTGGCCCCCTGGCCTGACAGCAGCAGCAGGAGGAAGGAAAGTCCGCCTAACAGAGCTCGCAGCTCAACCCAGGGCCCCATGATTCTCAGGGACTCGGCGCTGTGGGCTGCAGGCAAAAAGAGGTTAATGGGTGCCCCCCATGCCTCCAGCCCCCACCCTTCCAGGAACGTTCCCGCCGGGCCGGAGTCGGGACATCCACTTCTCCATGCTGGCCCCCGGAAGTGCCCGCACCTGTGCGCGTTTAACCGATCCACTCAGCATCCTGCAGGCTCACACCCCAGTGCCCCTCCACCACCCCATCCACCCCCAGGCCTCGGCCTCCTTAACACACCCCCTATAACTGATCTTCATGCTTTCAAAACCCACATATCATTCATACAGCCTCACCAAGCACCTGGAGCCTTCACATCTTTTTCTGAGACAAGGTCTGTGTAGCCCAGGCTGGCATTAAAGTCACACTGATCCTCCTGCCTCCCAAGTGCTGGGATCGCTTACACTTTAAACACCTTTCTACTGCCCTCCCAGACCCACAGCATCACGAGCTCGCTGGATGAGCACCAGTCAGAGGCCATCTCCCAGCTCACAGACCCAAGGCTCGGAGTCCACCCCGCACTCCCCCACTGGCATTTTCTCCCCACCTGGCTTCCCCTCTCTCCGGGAGACTTCAGGCGGCCCAGCCTCAGCAGCGGCGGCTCAGACTGGAGGGTGGGTGGGCCGGGCTGGGAAGGCAAGGAGGGGCCGAGCCAGAGGAGTCCTCCAGGCCCCGCCCCCCCAGCCCCCTCCTCAGCTCCAGCCTGGTGGGCTCAGGGGGTCAAGTCCCACTGCCCTCACCCCCTCCAGCGAAGGGCTCCCTGGGACTCTTCCCAGCTCTCAGAAGCCCTCGAACTCTGGACCCCTGACCCTTCCCTACAACACAGCCCCCTGGAGAGTTAGGGGCAGGGAGCGCAGCGGGGCAGGATCTGGGGCAGGAGAGCAAGAACCTGCACAAAAGGCCAGGGTGGCTGAGGCACCCAAGGGAAAATCGCCCCCATCTCTTGATGACATTTGTTAGGGCTCCAGGGACACAGAGTGATTCAGCCACCGCCCCCCAGGCCACAGCAGACAGGGCCCTATTGTCTCCTCCAAAATTCCTTCTTTCCAGGAAAAGGAGGCTCATTGTATGGCCCCTCACTCAGCTCTGGCCTACAAAGGTCGAGAAGGGGCACAACCCTGACCCTCGGCCCTCGTCCGGCCTGGGGGTGGCCGGCGCATTCCACCCACAATGCTGAGGGCCAAACCAGCAGAGCCCCAGGTTCGGCCCCCTAATCCTAGGCCGGGACAGGAAGAGAATTGTCTTCAGCAGGAAAGAACCCACAGAGAACCAGGAACCCGAACAGAATGGGCACTGAGAGAACGGAAACACCAAGGGGGTCCCCACCCCAGGCCAGGCATCCGGGCACCCAGGCTCCACACTCTGCAGCCCCACCCACCTTGGGGAGCCCAGGTCCTCACCTAGAAATAAGCCAAGCCACGCTGAGGAAATGGAGCTTTATTTCCATAAATACGGAGAACACCCATTCAAGGGTTAAAAGGGGCTGGGGCCTCAAACTAGGCTCCCAGGGGGAACCCCAACACTGACCATAGGGACTGGGGGATCCCCAAACCTGAGATGGGCCTCACAGGCCACAGATATTCCCCAACACTAACACTGAACAGAACTGTCCCCATAGGGGAGCCTCAGAACCCCACACTCGTGGGTGCCGCTCTAGAGGTCGCAAGGGCTGAACATGGGGAGAACAGAAGCTAAAATGTCCTGAGTGGCCCGGAGGAGACCCCCCTGGTGCAGGGCAGAGGTGGGCTCTCCTCCTGTACAGCCAGATGCGGAGCAGCAGCAGCAGCAGAGCAGCCGCCAGTTAAAACCTGGCCCTCACTTCCTAACCTCAGCCTTGGGAGAAAGGGGGCGCAGGGAGCCGCCCCCCAACAGTCGACATGAGGCAGGCGTGCCAGGAACTCATCAGAGGAGCAGAGGGAGTTCTGGGAGCCCCGGCTGGTGGGGGCAGTGTGGGCAAAGAGGGGTCAGCGCGACCTCTGGGCTGGGACTTCCTGACAGCCACGGGGTCCTCAGGACAGCCAGGGCTCAATGCAGGTCTCGTACAGGGTGCGGTTGGAGTGCCAGGCTGTGTGGGCAATCCCAGCCATCCGGCACCGCTCTATGGCTCCCCGGGCCAGCAGAGTCTTCAACCCGAAAGAATCTCGCAGGTACACCTTGGAGGCAGGTGAGGGGCACGAGCAGGGAAGGAAGACAGGGAGGGAGACGAGTGAGTGCCAAGGCCCCGTGCCCCAGCCCAGCCCGCAGGGTGAGCACCTCGACTCAGGACTAAGTGGGACAGGGCGGGGGAAGGGGGGGATCCCAAGGGGCTCACCCGTTGCTCCTCCATCTCCAACACGGTCTCATTGGCGTCATAGAAACCAAAGAAGCTACAAAGAGAGTGGGGAGGTGACCAGGAGCACGGAGAGGGCAGGGTGATCAAGGGCCCTGCAGGCACCCAAAGCCTCTGGGAAACTTCCCTCTCCCAGCTGAGGTCCTGAGGACACAGCAGCACCTCCACAAAGCCCCACCCAACCGAACAGCCTGCATCGAATCCCGAGGAAATGCTCAGCAAACCCAGACTGAGCCTACAAAGCAACTGGTCTGGCCGGCGTGATGGTGCACACTTCTGACCCCAGCAATCTGGAGCCTGGGCATCTTAGTGACTGAGCGAGGCCCTGTCTCAAAAAACTGAAACAAGGCCTGAGTTCAATCCAGTACTACAAAAACTTGACGCTGGGCTGGGGATTTAGCTCATTGGTTCCACCGCCTGCCTGGAAAGCGCAAGGTTCCAAGTTCGATCCCCGGTACCAAAACATAAAACAAAACAAAAACTCGACCTCACAGACAAAGCCTGAAGAGCAATTCCAGATTACAAGAGACTAAATGCAACATGAGACCCTGAGTGGGATCTTGCACTGGATACAGTTTTCTCTATAAGAACCATCAGAAGAAATGTGAATAACATCTACAGATGAGTACTCAAAGCTACAGTCTCAATGTTAATTTCCCACTTTTTAGTATATGTGCTGCTGAAGCAAGCACAATTTCCCACTTTTTAAATTGTATCATACCAGGCTGGGGGTTTAGCTCAGTGGCACTGAACCTGCCTGGCAAGCACAAGGTCCTGAGTTCAATCCCCGGTACCGGGGGTCAAAAAAATCCATCTTATGCTGTTATGAGATATTATGTCTGCAAACCATTCTCAAGGTGGTCACACAAAAAGTTAACATACATACGTAAATGACTTGTGTGTTTGAATAATTAAATGTTAATATATGTAAATATATATTTATGGAGAGAGAGAAGATATTATTGTAAACATGGTAAAATGCTGACATTTGGGCAATCTAGACAAAGAGCATACAAGAATGCTTTGTGGGGACGGGGATTTAGCTCAGTGGTTTCGCTGCCTGCTGCGCAAGCTCAAGGACCCGAGTTCGATCACTGGTATCAAAAAAATAAAAAAATAAAAAAATAAAATAAAAAATAAAAAAAGTAAAAGAATGCTTTGTGCTATTTTGGTAACTTTTGTTTGTGATATACTGAGGTTGGAACCCAGGCTTTCAAGCATGTGAAGCAAGCACTCTGCCACTAAGCCACATCCTCAGCCTCCAAAATGACATTTTGTAAAGGTGGGGTTTTTTTGGTGTTTTGAGACAGGGTCTTGCTGTGTAGTTCAGACTGGTCTTGAACACACTATCCTAGGCTGGCCTCAAACTCCCAGCGACCCTCCTGCCTCAGCCTCTAGAGTACTGAGATTTTTTTATGTTTTTTTTGGTACCGGGGATCGAACTCGGGGCCTTGCACTTGCACAGCAGGCGGTGAAACCACTGAGCTAAATCCCAGCCTAGAGTACTGAGATTATAGGCATGCGGCACCACACCAAGCAGTAAAATTCTTAAAGTAAATATTTAAGCCATGCATGGTGGTACATGCCTGTAATCTCAGCACTCAGGAGGCTGAAGCTGGAGGGTCCCAAGTTCAAGCCCAGCTCCGCCACACCCTTCCCTTGTGCATGTTGGACCCTGTTACTCACCCTCCTTGTCCCATCTAAGAATACCTCTGTCGAGGAGAGGAAGTAACCACTGTGGTCAGAAGCCAGGCAGCTTGACCTCACTGCTTACTAACCTGAACACAAGAGAGTCATTCAATGGCCCCCACTTCCCCATGGGGAAATCATCCCATTGGGTTGTCAGGAGGATTAAATTAGCTAATATAGTAAAACGTACTTTTTTTTTTGGCAGTGCCAGGGTTTGAACCTAGGGCCTTTGCACTGAGCTACTCTGCATCCCCTTTGTTTTGTTTTGTTTTTGAGACAGGGTCTAAGTTCAAATTGCCCTGGCTGGGCTTCAACTTGCCATTCCCCTGCCTTGGCCTCCCAAACTGCAGGGATTACAGGTGTGGGCCACTACATCCAGCAATGAAAAGTACTTAAAAACTATGCCTTGGGGCATGAAAATATTCTAAATATGAGCTACTACTATCATCATAGGATTGTTGTACATGCAAAATGAGATAATGTAAAAGCCACCCCCCCTTAGGGGCCGGGGATTTAGCTCAGTGGTTTCACTGCCGCCTGCTGCGCAAGCGCAATGACCCGAGTTCAATCCCCGGTACCAAAAAAAAAAAAAGCCATCCCTTGCTGAGCGTGGTAGCACGTGCCTGTGATCCCAGCACTCTGGGAGGCTGAAGCCGGAGGAGCCCAAGTTCAAGTCCACCCTGGGCAGCTTAGGAACTTGAGGACCTCTCCAACTGTAGGTAAAATAGGCCCGTCAACCTCTGACCCCTTCCCCTACCTTCTCTCTCTATTTTTTGGCACCGGGGATCACCTTCCCTACCTTCTGATTGCCACCTGACATCCATATTTGCACTCAGCGTCTCCCCAGCTAGAATGTAAACTGCCTACCATCTGGGACTTCTCTCTCACATCCGCTGCACCCCAGGGCCCAGAACTGCACCCAGACACATAGTGCTCAATAAATATTTGTTGAATAAGGCAGGCAGGTAACATTTCAGATCACTCGTGACGGACCCCAGAGGCACGCACACAGTGCCAGGGAGCTGTGGGTTTCCTGAGGAGGAAGGTGGCCGGACAAGGCCGGAGGCTGTCACAGCAGCCTGGGTAACAAGTAAAGAGGTGGCCAGTGACATGATGAAACGGCAGAGTCACGCGCGCCGTCCCTGGGTCAATTCTCTGATTCTGATCTTGTGCGTGAGTTACAGAAGATGCAGCCACCGGGGAGAGTAGGTGAGGGTGTACCCAGGGCCTGTCTGCACGGCTGCAATTTCCCATAATCTGTCACTATGTCAAAGTCTAAAGTCTAGAAGGGCTGGGGAGGTGGCTCAGTGGTAAAGCACTTGCGCAGCACATACAAGGCCCTGGGTTCAATCCCCAGCAATGCCAAAACAAAAAACAAAACGTGTCCACAAAGGGGTGAGGTGGTTAGCAACCTGCTGGAGTGGCGGGTTGGGGGGGACACTCAGTTTGCATTTCAGCACAGGGATGTGGGCGGGGTACTAACTGACCAGTGAGAGGAGCTGGCGCCTTTAGGCAGCAGACAAAGAAAGACAGGGAGGGGCTGGCCAGGCTTGGGCCAATGCATCCCTTATTACCTGGACTGCCAAGGAGTAATAACGCCATCATCCGGGCCCCCAATCAGCACCAGGCGGCCCACACGGAGGAAGTTCTTCCGCCACGCTGCAGGGTGAGAAGAAGAGAAACTGAGCCAGCCATAGAGGTCAGGCCAGACTGGAGAGAGACACAGCAGGTCAGAGCAGTAAAGGGAACACAAGAGGAATGTGGGTCTCACCAGTGGCATTGGGATGATCTCTCTCCCCATTGATCAGGGCCAGGAAGCTGCTGGCATTGAGGTACAAGTCGTCATGGTGGGGGTCTGGGTACAAACACCAGTTAGAGAGACAGTCAGAGACGCAGAGAAGGAGCAAGACCGGAGCCTGGAAGGCCAATCAGAGGCTGCAGTCATAGGGCGGACAGCAATACAACAGAAGCAATAATGACCACTGAAAACATGACAGAAAACTCTTATCTGGCTCCCACTATGAATCAGGTACTGTGCAGAGTCCACTAATCCTCAGGACTACCCCATGAGGTAGGTGCTATATTATCATTCTACAGATAAGGGAAACTGAGTCACAGAATGGCTACAGAACTCGGCCAAAGTCACCCAGCAGGGTCAAGTTTCAAACCCAAGTGGTCTGGTTCCAGCACCATGGTCTTATGTACAGGAGAAGCTGGCAAACATAACCAGTGAGCCAAATCCAGCCTGCCATGGTTTTCATAAATAAATTTTCACTGGAACACAGACACACTCATTCTCTTAGATTTGTGCTGCAGCCACTTTTGGCCCACACAGCCAAAATTATTCGCCCTCTGGCACTGCAGAAAAGGCTGACCCTGCATCACGCCATCCTCTCTGCAGCAATAAGCCTTTATCCACAGATCACATCAAACACTGTTGTTCAATCACTGAGTGCTCAATAAACAAAAGTTGCCACTATTGTCATCACCGCTATGGGCCAGCCTTGACAGAGGTGGGACAGCAGCCCTGCCCTCCAAGTGCCCTCTCCACAAGGACCCAGGCAGCACCCCACTCACCATGCCAGTAGTTGCAGATGGAGAACTCCTGGCCCCAGGGGCTGTAGCAGATCCGGTAGAGGTTAGACCTCATGGAGGTAGGGAACAGCCACTTCAAGTAGTCAGTGTCTGGCAAGAGAATGGCAGGACCAAGTGGCCGCAAAGCTCTGTGCCCCCAAAACCTGAGGTCTTCTCTGGAGCCCACAGTGCCCACTCACCTCCATACTGTCCCATCTGCGGAGAGGAGAGGGAGATGAAAGAATCCACATTGTGCTCCTCCATGACAGACAGCAGGGCCCGGCACACCAGGCCCCCTGTGGACAGAGCACCAGCACTGGGCAGGGAACTGAGGACCCCAGCTCAACAGTCCCTGCCTTCCTCCGCTGACACACGGAGCACAGAGGAGACAGGCCAGAGAACACCAAAAGCCAAGTGACAGAATCAGAATTACAGTCTAGGCTTCCTGACTTGAAGCATTTCTTTTTCTTTTCTTTTCTTTTTTTTTTTTTTGAGGCAGGGGCTCACTATGTAGTTCAGGCTGACCTGGAACTCACAATCCTCCTGCCTCAGCCTCCCCAGTGCTGGGATTACAGACGTGCACCACCATTCTGGGCTCTCCAGGATGCTCTTAATTGCTCCATCAGTCCTGTCCTTAAATTCAAGAACCATGGGTAAAGGGGAAAGAAGGAGCAGCCAGGCTGGGAGCCTCAGTCCCTGACAGGACAGAGGGAGGTCTCACTGCTGAAGCAGGTCAGAGAAAAGAGCTCAGCTCCCAGGCTCTGGCTGGAGCCGTGCGGTCCAGAGAGCGAGAGGCCAGAGTATCCTCGGGGAAGGATCAAGCCTCAGCCAGGGCTTTGGGGCCGGGAAAGGGGGCTGCCTACCCTGGGAGTAGCAGATGAGATGCACCCCTCGAGGGGCCTTTTCCATGATGGGGACCACGGCCTCCCGGAACCCTTGCACCTGTTCCCACAGGGGCCGCAAGCTCTCTCTGCCATCGAAGAGATCGAGCACGGTCACCACAGTCCCAGGGTGTGTCTGCGGGAAGGGGCGATGCAACCACTGGGGATGGACCATGCAGCCCCCGCCCCGTGGCCAGCGCCCACGCGCCCACTGTGCCCCCTGGGACCGGGGTCTCTCCCCAGCTCGCCCCGCACCAGCATCGGGCACTGGCAGGCCGAGGGGGCTGTGGGCTGCCCACTCGCCCCCGACACCGCAGACACCCCCAGGGCCCTGCGCCCGCGTCCCCGGCCGGCCGACCTCGTTGATGTATTCCAGCAGGTGGCGGAAGCTGTACGAGCTGTCGAAGAGCCCGTGCACCACGATGACCGGCTTGTAGGAAGCGCCGTGGGGGGTGGGGGCGACGGGCGGCGGCAGCAGCAGCAGAAGGAGGAGGAGCAGCGACCACAGGAGCAGGACCCACGCCGAGGGGAGCCTGTGCCCCCAGAGCTGCAGCATGCTCCCGCCTGAGACGGGAAGGCGGGCCGTGAGGCAGGTGACGACAGCCCTCCTCTCGGGCCAGACGCCCGGCGACAAGCCGCCTCCGTCCCGCTCCCACACCGGGTCCTTCCCACGAAAGAGCCTGCTTTTACTCCGGGCCTCTCCTGCAAACCAGGCGCCCGCGCGCCACAAGTCCCGCCCCCAACCCCGCACTCCGAGGACTGGGTCCCCGGGCTTCGGCCCAGGGCCCGCGAATGCGGACTCCCACCTGGCCCGCGTCTGTAGGCCCCGCCCCGCCCGCTGTTTACTTCTCCCGGGTCTGGAACCCGCCGGGAGGAAAGGGGCGAGAGGAGAGCGCGTAGGGGAGCGGCGGGGAGGGGAGGGACGCTCGGGGTCGCGCGGAGCCGTCACGTCCGGGGCTTTCCCTGGCAACGGTGCGAGCGTCACCAGCAACGCGGCCGGCCCCGGAGGGGCGATGGAATATTCCATTGCGCCCCGGGAGCTGGGGAGGGACGAGGCGGAGCGATCCATTCAGGCCGGCGGGGAGACGCGGCCGCGGACGTGTGCGCTTCTCGGCGAAGGAGGCCTCGCCGGGCCTGGCTGCCCCCGGGGCCCGCGGATCCGACTCCCACCTCGGTTCGCCCCACTTCCCAGTCGGGCTCCGCCGCACCAGCAGAACTTCTGGGTCCCCGGGGGCGGCGGGGACTGGCTGGGTGAAAGTGGTACTCCGTCTTCCCTGCCGGAGCCCGCCCGGCCGCCCGCCCCAGGGCGCAGTCTTACAGCTCTTGGTTTTGAAGTGCGTGTAGCACCCTTGTCTCTGGAGACGTGGAGAGCCCTTGAGGTCCTGGAGCTAAGTGCAGCCTGACCCAGTTCCTCTGCCCGACTCCCGGGATGCGACCCACCCTCCAGGGGCGGAGAGCCCCGGGGCCGCGCTGAGTCACGCCCGCCGCGGACCCCAGGCTCCGACCCGGGGCGCCCACACCTGTGAGGTGAAGCTTGCCGACGCCCGGCTTTTGTGTCAGGACTTTTACTTAGCAATTAAAGACGTGTCCCGTGAGAAAAGGGTTTCCCAGCAGGTCTGAGCCTCTTGCTCGGTCTGAACTCTCAGCTCCCAGTAAAACCCACAGACGCTTAGAAGTGTGGAGTACGGATGGGTGGGAGTAAGGGATCTTGCAAACGCCTGGGGAACCGGAACAACTGGTGATGACGCCGCGACCTAAATTGTGGCCTGGGACTGGCTCGGGCGAAGCCTTTGTCACCAGGGACTCGGCCTCGGGTGGGGGCTGGGATTGCTGGGGGCGGTAGTGGCAGTTTCTCTGTGTTTCGGCACAAAGCCTAACTGTGTAGGTCCCCGCAGACTGCCTATCCGCACCCTCTCCCCACCCACGCGCTTCCAGAATGCCGAAGACCACAATAAGCGCTGTGCCCGAGGTCGACTCCGGGTGGTGGGTGGGTGAGAAGGATTCATGGAAGGGATCTGAACACCGACCTGCCCAGGAGTTCTCATCCCAACCTAAAAGCAAGGGGGGACGAGCGTGCACGTCCAAACCGACGTGCTAGAAATGTGCAGTTTAGGCACCCTTCCCTCTGTCTCAGCTCGGTAACCCTGGACAAGGCATCCAGCCCGGCATGGTGGCAGAGGCCTGTGATCCCGGCATCCTGGAAGGCTGAGACAAGCAGATCGAACGTTCAAGCCCAGCCTGGGCAATTTAGTGAGGCTGTATGGAAATTTTAAAAAGGGAGATGGGAGGCAGGACATGGAGCTCAGAGTGAAAGCCCTGGGCGCCATCCCCAGCACTGCTGCAGCTCTCCTAGGCTTGGATTGTCTGCTGTAGGATCAGATCAAAGGAGGCCACATATTTTGCAAAAAAGGATTTATTCACATCTAGTTTTGAAGAGATGAGGGGCATCTGGTTCAAATCTCCACCCCTCCCTGTCCAGGTGGCAGGGGTCTTCTTCAGTAAGGGACAGAGGGGAGGGGAGCAGCGAGGTGATGCAGACACACTTGCTTTAACCTCTAGCCCTCTTCTCTTCTTTGTCCCCCTTCTAGTGGAAAGGAAACTGGGCTCTTGCCTCCTGGGGCTGGCATCTGCATAGTGTCACTTTTAGGCTGGGGGGGGCGATGCTGGTTATGTGCTCAGCAGGAGGAAGCTTGAAGTTACTTATCTCTCTAAAAGAAAAAAAAATCTAACTTTTAAAGTTCTATTTTGATCAGGCATGGCGCCGCCACACACCTGTAATCCCAACACTCTGGAGGCTGAGGCAGGAGGATCATGAGTTCCAGGCCAGCTGAGGGCCACATGACGAGTTCACAGCCGGCCTGGACTACAAAGCAAGACCCTATCTCAAAAAAAAAAAATAATAAAGTCCCACTTTGCACTGTCAGTTACAGCTCAAAAAAACCCACAAAACTTTGTATCCTCAGATTAGGCCTGAGCGCCCCACATGTCGGTGCGGGGTGGGGGTGCCCTGGGAGCCCCTCGGGCCCTCTCAGCTCTCAACTCTGTACAGTTCTCTCGCACACATAGCACACAGCTGGGACAGGGAGTGGGAAAGCACCCGGCACCTTGCACGGAGCTGTGAAGGAAGCTGAGGTGGGGAAGACTTGCCTTCCCGGGTGAACCAGGGCTGGCGGCAAGTGGGATATGAGTCTACCAGCATCCGCTGGCCTCCGCGCACAGCATCAGCACCTCAGCGAGCCTCGGAGGGGGGACTCTAGAGAGTTCTCTCTCCTTCCTTCCTTCCTTCCTCCCCTCCCTTAGTCCCTCCCTCCTTTCCTGGTCTTGCCTCCCTGTTTCCATGACAACTCCGAGGGAGCCTAAACTGGGGGCTTGAATGCCAGGGTGAGAGGAGGAGAGGTGGTCCAAGAGCAGCGGGAGAGGGAGCTGGGGGACGTCTGAAGCGCCCTCCCCCGCCTCGGTCCCTTTAAGCTCCCCCCTCCCCGCTCTCCCTCCGCCCCCCGCCGCTGTCTCCTCTCCCTCTCTGCGCTGCTGCCGCTGCGCCATCCCAGACCCAGACCCCGGCGGCGCCGGCCGGGGCCCCCGACTCCCGCTGCAGGGACCCGGTCCCGGGGGGACTGCAAGCATGTCAGCGGAAAAGTCAGGTAAAAGGGGCGACGAGGACGCCCATCTCCGGACTCCCCCTACCCCTCCCCAGGGGTCCGGTTCCATCCCCGTCTCTCCAGCCTCCAAACCCCGCCGCCGCTTTCTGTCGCCCACCTTTTTTTCCCTCCTTCCAGTTTCAGTCTCTGACCCTTGCCAACAACACAGCCGGGGGGCAAGTGGAGGGGCAAGGGAGGTGGAGGGGCCTAGCGTCGGCCCGGCGCTGCAGGGAGGCATCTCTGGAGCGACAGATGGGCCGGCCCTGGCTGGCCTGCATGCAGACCTGGGGGAAATACGGAGCCTGGACCAGATGGGGGCCCTCGGGGAGTGAAACGCAGGGGCTCCGGGCCCCAAGGTCCCACAGGGCGCTGGTGCCACCGTGGAGGCCAGCACACGGGAACGGTGTGGCGCGGCGCAGGGCAGCCCTCGCAGGAGGGCAGAGCCTGGGTCGGGGGGGGGGGCAACTGAGCGCATGTGGCAGAAAAAGAAGGAAGCGGAGCAGAGGAGAGCTGTGACCTCAAAGCTAGACTGGAGTGGGGTGGTGGCCTAGATAGAGCCCTCCCCTGCCCCCGGAGGCGGCTTCTCACCTGTCTCTCTCCCCTTGCCTCCCATCCCGGCTGTCTGCCCCTTCCGCCCCGCTACTGCCCCTGCTCCGCTCACCCCTGCACCCCACTCGCTGCCCCAGGCCTCCCGGACTCCGTCCCTCACACTTCGCCGCCGCCCTACAATGCCCCCCAGCCCCCGGCCGAAGCGCCCGCCCCGCCCCCACAAGCCGCCCCCTCCTCGCACCAGCACCACCAGCACCACCACCACCAGGCCGGCACCGCCACGCTCCCGCGCCTCGGGGCAGGCGGCCTGGCCTCCTCCGCGGCCACGGCCCAGCGCGGCCCCTCGTCCTCCGCCACGCTCCCGAGGCCCCCCCACCACGCCACGCCCGGCCCGGCCGCCGGGGCGCCCCCACCCGGTTGCGCCACCCTGCCCCGAATGCCCCCCGACCCGTACCTGCAGGAGACCCGCTTCGAGGGCGCCCTCCCCCCGCCGCCCGCCTCGGCCGCCCCGCCGCCGCCTGCGCCCGCCTCGGCCACCCAGGCTCCGGGCTTCGTGGTGCCCACGCACGCGGGGGCGCTGGGCACGCTGCCGCTGGGGGGCTACGTGGCGCCCGGATATCCCCTGCAGCTGCAACCCTGCACAGCCTACGTGCCGGTCTACCCGGTGGGCACGGTGAGTGCAGGCTGGCAGGCCTGGGGGCCTTGGAACTGGGGACCCCTTGGGGGCCGGGGGCGTGGCAGTGTCCTCAGGACAAGCCCTGGAGGGAAGGGCTGAGAGCGAAGACCCAAGGAAAAGGCCTTGGAGTTTGGGTGGTGGGGACTTGGGGGGCCATGGTGGTCGGGGCCAGCACCTGGGGGGACAGAGTAGAGGGCAAGTGGGGACCGAGGGGCGCGAGGGAGCAGAAGCCTGGGACTGGGAGGGGAGCGAGGCCAGGTCGGGGTCAGCAGGGGAGGATGGAGGTCCGAGGTGAGGCCAGGACACCCCCACGAATGTGGGGTGTCAGGAGAGGGGCCCAGGCGGAACTTGCTGGTGTCCTGGAAGGGTATCGGGTAACCCGTTTCTTTGAAATGCAGCGGCTAAGAACTGTGCTTTGAAACTGCCCTGCATGGGCGCCGAGGCTGGCGAGCTGGGACGAGGTCGGGGTGACGTCCCTGCCCCCAACTTTCCTCTCCCAGCCCTACGCAGGCGGGACCCCGGGGGGCACTGGGGTGACCTCCACTCTGCCCCCGCCGCCCCAGGGCCCGGGGCTGGCCCTGCTGGAGCCGAGGCGCCCGCCGCACGACTACATGCCCATCGCAGTGCTGACCACCATCTGCTGCTTCTGGCCCACGGGGATCATCGCCATCTTCAAGGCGGTGCAGGTGGGAGTGGGGGCCGCGCTGGGGGTCGCTTCGGGAGGCGAGGCGCGCGGGGGCTGTCTGACCCTCCCCACCCCACCGCAGGTGCGCACAGCCCTGGCCCGCGGGGACATGGTGTCCGCCGAGATCGCGTCACGCGAGGCCCGGAACTTCTCCTTCATCTCCCTGGCCGTGGGCATCGCAGCCATGGTGCTCTGTACCATCCTCACCGTCGTCATCATCATCGCCGCGCAGCACCACGAGAACTACTGGGATCCCTGAAGACGCCGCGGCCCGGCCTGCTGTGCGCCCCGCCGCGGGCCCCGCGGGCTCGGGACTCCAGGCATCCTCGACTCCGCCTCCACGGAGCCTCTCGCCTGGCGAGCGCGCTCCAATTCGGCTCCTCAGGAACCCCTGCAAAACCCGCACGCGCAGGGACCCCGCCTGCTGGGGCCCCCGCCACGCGCCGGGGCCTGGGTCGCCCCAGTTCCCAGCCCTCCTCCCCAAGCGCATCGCCCCCCCGCCCAGCTCCCGAGGTCTCGGCGCTCGGCCTGGACTCGGGTCCCGAAGCCCCGCCTCCTTCACAGGCCCCGCCCACTAAGACTAACCCATCCCCGCCTCCGGGCCAGCAGGCTCCGCCCTCCTCGCCTGCAGGGTGAGTTCGAGCCGCGCCCCTCGCTCCCACCTATTTTTGCTAGTACCAGTTTCGCCCTCCTCCACCTGGGTCTCCGCCTATTTTCTTGCTAATTCCAGAACTTCTCTTTTTGTTGTTTTTGGAAGGAAACTTGGAAGGTCTCTGCTTTAGGACCTGAGATAAGAAAGGCGGCCCCTACTCTGTAAATAGCCCTCCCACCGCCTGGCAGAGGGAAGCCAGGATGAGCACCTCCCGGGCCCGCTAACCCTCCGTCCCCGCCTTGTTCCGGTCTGTGTGGTGTGTGAACCTCCGAAAGAGGACATTAAAGAGCCTTAGTGGATTTATCACTGCATTTCCAAAGACTGTGGGCCCACGAAGACCCTGCCTTTCTGTTTCCCCTTTTCACTTCTCTTCACGTCCACTTCCAGGGGAAAAAAGAAAGCCAACAGAGACAAAAATGGGAGAAGACGAATTCCTGACCCGCAGGGGGACACAGGAATCTGGGTCCCCAGGTACCCGGTATCCGGGAAGACCTCGGGTACCATTCTCAGTGGGGTTTTCTTTCCCTAGAGCCCCCTTTTCCACTCTGTGCTAGACTGGATTTAAGGGATTGGAGAGATTTACAGGGACACCTAGAAATCTATCTATCCCAGAATTGCCAGGAAGGCAAAGAAGTTTAGCAGACCCCGGTGAAGAGGTTGGAAGAGGTTGGTCAAGGACAGGGTGACTGCAGGGGAAAGACGCCAGGTGCCCATAGTCGTTCCTGCCTGCGGGCCAGGGGGTGGGGAGAACTTGGCCCTCCCGGGGCTAGCTGCCCCCTAGCTGAGCTAATCCCAAGGCCCCACCCTGCATGTGTGCATCGTACAGCATCCAGACACCAGAGGCCACACCAGACGCTGCTGAGAGCCCTGCCCAGGCAGCAGCCGAGACCCTGGCCTGTGGGGTTTATGATCTAGAAGGGAAGCTGCATACTCAGACAGGAGATGGGGCCGGGGACGGTGGGCCATGGATGTGGTGGGTTCTCCATGGGATGTTCCAGGCTTACTGTGCCTTACTCACCAAGCTTCTCGAAAAAAATAATTTCCAGTTGCAACTTTCACTTCTTCATCCCCTTAAATAGGGAGCACAGTGGCCCATGCCGGTAATCCCAGCACTGAGGAGGCTGAAGCAGGAGAATCCAAAGTTTGAGCCCCACCTGGACAATTTAAGACCCTCTCTCGGAAAAAAATGTGAAGGGCTGGGGTTGTAGCTCAGTGGTGAAGTAACCCTAGGTTCAATCGCCAGTAGTACAAAAAGGGGCAGGTAGGGGCGCTGCTATCAGACTTGTATCTCCATCTCTGTTTTCATAGACTATTTCTTAATTCCTTGAAATTCGCTTCCACTCCCTCCCTCACTGAAAGTACTTTCAAATGGCACCCAATGACCAGTGCTTACCTGGAGCAAATATTTTCATAGTTCTGTCTCTCTGAACTTTCTCTTTCCTTCTCTCATTTTATTTATTGATTGATTCATTGATTGATTGATTGGTATGGGGGGGATCAAACTCAGGACCTTGCACTTGCGAGGCAGGTGGTGGAACCACTGAGCTAAATCCTGGTCCTCTCATTTTATTTTTATTTATTTATTTTTTTGAGACAGGGTCTTGCTGTGTAGTGCAGCCTGGCCTTGAGCCCAATAGCCCAGGCTGGCCTTGAACTTGGAGCAATCCTCCTGCCTCAGCCTCTGGAGTGCTAGGATTACAAGCATGCACACCATGCCCAGCATTCATGCCTTTCTTGACCCTGGATTTCCCACACCCCAGGCTCAGGGCCGTGCTAGTGCTATCTCCCCCGTACACACACCTCTGACCCCATCCTCCTGACCTCCTCCTTCCCTTCGCTCCTCCCTTCCTAAGTATCTGTGTCTGGACTTTTTCCTTCTCTGAGATTTTCCCTTGAAATCTCATCCACTGGACAGTGATGTCTCCATTTTTCAGGACTGATAAGCATTTCAAGTATTCTAAGCACAGGCTCTGTCCCTGAGCCACACCTCAGCCCCTGGCCATCAGCACTAACCAAATTCAGTCTTCAGTGCCTGCAGAACACAGCCACACGTCCGAACACAGATGGTTCAAACAGAGTGGGTAAAATGCCACCAAAACCCTGCTTCCTGTCTCCCCTAGTGGCCTCCTCTTCCCAGTCACCTTTCCTTATCTGAAAGCTTGCTGCCTCGATTTTGCCAAATCAGTTCTACAGCTACAGTATCGAGTCTGTAACTTCTCTCCAGCCCTGGCCAGAAACGTTAGCTCACCTGGGATTACTGCAGCACCTCCCGGGTGGTCTCCACCCTTCCTCTCTGCTGCAGTCAGATTAACCTCCCTAGAGGTGCTTCTTATGTAACCCTGCTGCTCACAAACTTCAGAATGCTGGGTGCTGTGGTGCACCTACAGGTCCAGCTACCTGGAAGGCTGAGGTGGGGGGACTGCTGTAGCTCAGGAGTTCAGGACCAATCTAGGCAAGATGGCCAGATCTCATCCAAAAACAGAAACAAGCTTCCAAACTACCTATTGCCATTCAATTATTTACAAAATGTCAATATGGGGCTGGGGGTGTAGCTCAGTGATATTGATATAGGGGAGGAGATGTAGCTCCCAAACCTACTAGACACCCGAAACTCAAGTTCATGTTCTCTAAAATCGAAGAATGAATTCTAGGAGCAACGGAGGTTAAGAGTAGGAAAAATTTATTAGGAGAAAGAAACTTCTGCCTAAGAGAGACAGAAGGGGGACCCAAAAGTGGGCTGCCCCCTCACCCCACTTTTCAAAGATGTTTTATACAGCAAAGCCGTGTGGTGAGGCGCGTACAAAGTGGGACAAAACTGTAAGACCCAATGGAAGTTTACAAGGTGGACATGAGGTGGAACAAAACTATGACCAACCAATAAGATTACAAGTACAGTCACCCAGGTAATATTCATTAAATGAGGGTCAAATGGGGGAGCAAGTCACATTCAAGGAATTGATATTCCCATTTAGAATATCAATCACTGCTGTCTATCTCTAGGGGAAGGAGTGCCTCTTCTTTTTATAGCGCTAACCAGTGGGTGTGGTTCAATTGTTCTCCATGTTGGTTCCTTGCTGTGTTGGCTCCTAGAAGGCTGGTCCTGTCTAACTGCACACAAGATATCTAGTTAACTTACCTATCTGCAGTAATATGGCATTTGCCTAGCATGCATGAGGCCCTGAGTTCAGTCACCAGCACCACACACACACACACAACCAAAATTTCAATCTGGCCTTCAGCTTCTTCCATAACTTGAAAAGTCTGAAATCATCCAACCTTCTCTCTTCAATCTAGTTGTGATTTCCACTTCCAGGTATTTATCCAGCTGTTCCCTAATCCTTGCTCAATGTCTGCCTCATAAACCAAATTGTCTCCAGGGATGGTGATACATGCCTGGGGAGGCTGAGGCAGGAGGATTGTCACAAGTTCAAGGCCAGTGTTGGCCTCATAGTGAGTTCAGGGCAAACCTGAACTACACAGTGAGAAACCTTGACTCAAAAAAACCAAAAAAAAAATTTTAAATAATTTTTAAAAAATAATATTAAATAAAAATAAACCTAAATATTTCCGGCTCCTGAAGGTCAGACCAGCTCTAGGCCGTTGTTTACAATACACTCCACCCCCTCTACTTGGTCAAAATTTCCCTGCCCTTCAAAGCCCAGGTCAAAAGTGCTGGGCTCACCAGCAGAAAGGTCGGATCAGAGCCCCAGGCATTCCTTGGAGCAATGCTCCTCACCAAAGGCTACAGTTACAATCCTCTGGGGAGCATTTACAACTCCCAAGCCCAGGTCGCATCCTAGACCAATTAAATCACAATCTCTGGGGGGTGGGACTCAGCAGTACAAGCCAAGGTTGAGAATCACTTTTTTGTCTTTGTTTTTGTTTTGCAGTAATTAGGATTCAACCCAAGCCCTACACACCGAGTTCTTTTTTTTTTTTTTCTGAGACAGGGTCAAGCTTGCTAGGTGGCCCAGGCAGGGCTCAAACTTTCAAAACCCCCAGAGTGCCGGCATTCAGGTCATTTGTCGCCAGGCCCGGCTGGGAGGCACAGACTTTGAGTCACCCCGGGGACTACCAGAAGAGAGGAGAAGCCAAAAGGTGCTTCAGCCAGTCAACTTTAATCGGAGAAAGACATCCAGGCCTGAAACCCAGCCCCTGCCGTCCGTCCTCTCCAGCCTGAGCCCCCACCTTACCGTGGGAGCTGCTCGGGCAGAGCCCGGCTCTTAGTCCCCTCTGCTTTCCCCTCCCTGCGCGTAAAACCTCTTCTACTGATCTTCCAGTTCAACAGAACTGAAAGTAGGCAGAGAAAGGTGTAAATGACCTCTGGACCCGTGGCCCTCACCCGCACACCTCCCCGGGGAGGAAAGAAAAAGCGACACCCGCCCCGTGCTCCTGCCTCCCTCCCCCAGCTCCCTCCGCACGCGTGCCTGGGCTCCTTGCACCCCCGAACACAGACTGCACCCTGCCAGAGAGCCTGTGACCCCGTTAACCTCTACTTGGGTCCCCCACGCTTGGATTCTGGTCACCTGGGTGGTCTGGGTCATGATCCCCGCACTCACTGAGGACGCAGCACCTGGCTCACCCTCTTCCTCCCGGCCTCCGCCTCTGTCTTGGTTTCCTTTGGTTTTGTGGCGCTGGGTATCAACCCCAGGCTTGCACGAGCTAGGCAAGCTGCTCCCACAGAGCTATGCCCCCCGCCCCCCGTTTCTTTATCTTCAATGTGTGCGGCACCCACGTAAGGTCACCCGGCACTCGGGTCAGTTCCGCGCCTGCCTGTCTCCAGCAATCTGGCCCTCTTGGCTCCCCGCCACTCCCCTGGGCCCTCCCTCCACTTGGTTCCACCCATAACTGCCACCCTTCCAAAAATCTCATCCGCGGTCTTTTCAGGTCAACTTGCAGTGCCCCCACGCCTGTCAGAGGGCCATCAATCCTCCCACGGCCTAGAGAGGGGGATGTTGAGGGCTAGAGAGAAAAAAGACAACAGAGACTTGCGTAATTTGAAAGTATACAGGGGCCAGGAGGTCAGTGCCTCAGAGCCAGCGAAGAGAGACGCTCCGAGCTCGCCACTATTTATTGGGTACACACAATAATTGGAGGGAGCAGGGCCGGGGATTTAGCTCAGTGGTTTCACCACCTGCTGCGCAACCGCAAGGATCCGAGTTCATCCCCGGTAACAAAACAAAACAAACAAAAAATAATAATAATTGGAGGGAGCATCAGGTGACTTGGGGGGGCAGCACGGATCCTACTTGGACCGAGGAGCCTATGCTGATGAGGATCTTAGGTCACCAGGTTCTTATGCTGATAAGGGCTATAAGGAAAGCATTCTTGCAACAGGTGGAATGAGTTGAACTGATAAGGAATTTCTTTCCCCAGGTGAAACCTTACTCTTGCTACTTGGTTCTCCAGGAACCAGGATGTCTTTAGCTGATGTAATCTTGCCCTTGAGCTCACAGCATCACGGGAGCTTTGAAGTTTCAGCTGTGACCAGAGGCCGAAAAGGAGCTATGTTCCAGCCTGTCATAGCCGGCCTGTAGGCAAGAAGACTAGGCCTCATCATAATTTAATTGTGAAATGATTTTCCCCCAAATGATGTAGAATGGCTCCTGACATGCGCAGAAAACTCTCACCCCCACCCAGACTTCCCATCTAACAACACTATCAACACATCAGTAAGGGAATCCAGAGCCTCGTGCATGCTAGGCAAATGCTCTACCACCCAGCTACATCCCCATCACTTTTGATTTTTTATTTTGAGACAGGTTCTCTTGCTAAATTGCCCAGGTTGGCCTTCAACTTGGAATCCTCCGGCTTCAGCCTCTTGAGCAGCTGGGATTACAGATGTGCACCACCACACCCAATATGCTCATTTTCCCAGTTTAGCTCCTAAAGCTGGGCAGTGTGAATGCCCCTCAGGCCTCCCCCTATACCTCCGCCCCTTCCCTCCACGTCTAGTTCCAAGTTGAATCCTACTCTTCCGGCTCCACAGTGCACCTGGCAGCGGGACGTCTGAGGGTGAACAGTCATCCTGTCTGGTCCCACTTCCTGTGGGACCTCAGAAGAGCCGACTTTTCCCTCATCCACTTTCCCCAGTCTGAGACCACAATTTCACAAGATGACAAAATGTCTCCCTATTTCAGTGAGAAAACAGAAACTTCGGAAGAGAACGTCTCCATGGCCTGGCTCCAAACTGAGCAGGCTGCCTGCCTCGCTGCCGCACAGCGGGCGACCTTCTCCTGGCCTGAACCCCTCTAGGCCCACTGCTCTCTGGCTCGGAGAGTTGGCTCCTGAAATTACTCCTGTCTCTCTGGAAAAATCAGCTCCCCGACCTTTGGTGGAATGTTCCCGAGCCTGTAACCCAGCATCTGGGAGGCTGAATCAGAAGGATTCCAAGTTCGGCCCAGCCTGAGTGATTTTATGACCTAGGGAGACCCAGTCTCAAAATAAAAAAGGGGCTGGAGATGTAGCTAAGTGTGGAGGCCCTGGGTTCAATCCCCAGTAACACACACACACACACACACACACACACACACACATTTCCCTATTACCTGTGAAAAAATCCCTTCGCTACTCACCTACGTAGTAAAAGCACAATACTCACAAAAGTGCTTAGTCTTAGGCAGGAAGGGAATCCTGACTGGAAAAAGACATTCAGGGAGCTTCAACAACATTGAGATTTTACTTCTTTTGGAGGGGAGAATGAGATAAGTTCTCACTACGTAGTCCAGGCCGGCCTTGAACTCACTACATAGCCCCAGGTTGGTCTCAAACTCCCAGGGATCCTCCTGCCTCAGCCTCCGGAGGGCTGGGATGACAGGCGTGCACCACCATGCCTGGCTGAGAAAATTTTAGTTTTTAAGCTCCATGACATTCATGTCATTATGCTTTGTAATGTGTATCCACCTAAGCCTCTGTACTATAATTTTATATCTGTGAAATAACTCGTATTTATTTATTTATTATTTTTCTAGGGCTGAGATCCAAGGCGGTGCCCTTGCTAGGTAAGTGCTCTACCACCAAGCGACGCCCAGCCCCACACTGAGAGTTTCATTTAAAAGCCCTTCTCTTGGGCCAGGGATTTAGCTTAGTGGTTTCGCCGCCTGCTGCGCAAGTGCAAGGACCCGAGTTCAATCCCCAGTACCAAAAAATAAATAAAAATAAATAAAAGCCCTCCTCTACCCCAGCTCCCTGAATGCACACATGGCCTCCCGGCTCCTAAACCCAATGGCCAAAGCTGAAAATTCACTTCTCATCTCCTTTCCCCCACCTTTTAATTCAAGGGATCACACCCAGGGCCTTGCAAATGCTAGACACATCTCTACCTCGGAGCGACACCCCAGGCTCTCACCGGAGTCAGACCAGGGTCTCTCGGCTTGGGGACAACTGGCATCCGGGTCAGATAGCCTTTTTCCTGGGACTGGCTCACCTTGTCTCACTGTTGTCTCCCCAGTGCTTCGTGGGGGATGTCGGTCCTCAGGCAGAGCTTCCTACCCACAGGGACATCCAGCACCTTCTAGAGATGCTTTTGGTCTTCTCAGCAGAGATGCCCCCGAGTCTGTGAGGAGAGCCAGGCTCCACGTGCAGGACACAACAGAGTCAGCCATTCCAGATGCCAGTCAGTGCCCAGCTGAGACGCTTTGGTCTGGACCCGACCTCGTTTGATGCAGCTGGCTGTTCCCTTAGCAAAATGCTCTCCAAACTCGTTCTTGATCCAATTAAAGCGAGTACAGCACTCCCAGGTTCCCTATTTTTGGCTGCTTTTCGTTTGTTTCTGTTGACCAAAGCTCCTGTTCATCTTCCAGACTCCTGAACACCAGAGCCCTCAGGCTCCACTCTGCCCTTGACCCCTCCTTGACTCCATCCCTCCTCCTGTGCTGCCCTGGTCCTTACTTGGATTTTCTTTCCTTTTTTTTCAGTACCAGGGATTGAACTCAGGACCTTGTGCAGCGACACCACTGAGTATTCATTTGTCGAAGGGCAGCAGTTCGGGTTTGATGTTACCCCTACTAAGGTGACCAACGCCCTACAGAGTGCCCTCCTACCTGCTCCTCCTCATTCCTGCCTTTTCCTTCCTCCCATCGCTTCCACCACCTTGTTGGGGTCTGGCACAGCATCTTACTTAGACTCTCAGAAAAATCCGAACTTGGATCTTCTGCTTCCACTTTGGACTGGAATATTCCGTTGTCCTTTGTGCAGAAATTAGCACGATTTAAAAAAAAATACCAGATGATGTCATTCACCTGCTTACAACCTGTGGTGGCTCCTGCTCACACTCAGAACTACTGGGCTTCAGGACACAGTACCCCCAAATCCTGGACCCTTGAACACACTGAACACTTTGTAGAAATGGGCTCAAAACCATGATCTCTCCTTCTGCCCTTCCTTCTTCTTCTCTTTCTCCTCCAAAGCAGACCTAAGAAACTAAGATTCCTCTCCCCTAGGCAGGTGGTAGAAACTAGACCTGTCCTCATCCCGAGGCAGCCGTAAACCTTTTTTTTTTTTTTTGTACCAGGGATTGAACTCAGGTCCTTGCAAACAGCACCATACACACAGCACCATACACAGCTGGAGACATTGGTGCCTATTCCCTACCTGACTTACTGGGTTCCTGATGCCCTGCTACTGCCCGACATTGTTTTATGTTTTCTCAATCACTTTTATTGCCTATCGTTCTCCCTTGAATGTAAACTACAAGAGCGTTGGGGGCTTTTCTTCTACTGCCTTATTCCCAGCCCCTCGCTTGGCACAAGGAGACCCTTAACGAGGATTTGTTGAAGAGGCTGGGTGTGGTGGTGCACACCTGTAATCTCAGAACTGGGGAGGCTGAGGCAGGAACATCATCACGAGTTCGAGGGCAGCCAGGGCTGCACAGTGAGTTCAAGGTCAGCGTGAACTACATAGGGAGACCCTGTCGCAAAGCAAAACAAAAAAAGTGTTGGATATCCAGCTCATGCGGAGGCCCTAGGTTCAATCCCCGATAACTCACACACAGAGTTGATGGACGAGGGCTGGGAATGTAGCTCAGTGGTAGAGCGCGTGCCGAGCATGGACAAGGCCCTGGCTTGGATCCTCAGCACTACTGAGAAACAGGGGGGCTACTGACTGACCGAGTGAATCGGTGAGGGCTGAAGAGCAGCTCTCTGAAACATCCCCGCAGAATGGGCTGCCTCTCCCAGCCCTGTGCTGCCTCCCAACCCCGCCTACGAGGGAGGCCAAAAGCCTTGGGAGCAAAGAGGAGGACGGAACAACTTTGACACAAACCCCAGCAGAACTAAAACCCACAGGAACTACCAAAGCTAAACAAGGGGCCTTGCTGAGCCTCTGGAAGCTGAAGCGTGGGCGGCGGTGACGAACGGCGGAGCGAGCGCGGCGCGTGGGTCGGAGCGTCCTGCAGGGGGCGCGGGGGCGGCGAAGCCCGGCCGGCTCCTCGGGGGCGGAGCAGCCGGGAGAGCCCAGCCGGGCTGCCTCGCCCTCCCACCCCGGCGCCTCGATGCGGACACCCGGGCCGCGCGGCCTCACGTCGCGAAGCACGAAGTCGAGGACCAAAGGAGGACGTTAGGAGGGTCTTATTAGAAAAAAGGGGAAGAGCGATCACTCCTGGATTTCCAGGAGGGGTCCTGAGTGGGTGGCCACTGAGGCCCGGTGTCAGGGCTAATTTATTTGATTGGTATGCTGTAGATATACACGATCATATTCATCACGGGGAATATATGCCTGAACATGATGTATCTTTTTTTTTTTTTTTTATCGATTATTCATTCTAATCATTGGTACATTTTAGGTATACAATATAATGACATTCATCATTGGAAATTTTTTTTTTTTTTTTTGGTACCGGAGATCGAACTCAGGACCTTGCCCTTGGGAGGCAGGTGCCAGAACCACTGAGCTAAATCCCCGGCCCAACATGATGTATCTTGATTCTCCTTTTCCCCCAGTCCCCTCCCCTCCCTTCAAACCCGCTTCCTCCTTTTATTTACAAAAGCTTTGTTTCCATTTTTTCCCCTTTTATTAACTTTTTCTTTCTCCATCCACCCACCCCACCCCACCCCCGCCCTTCCCATTTGAACATTTTCTTCCTATGGCCCCACACCTGTTATACATTCTGGTCCTTATTTACCCTTTCGGTTTCTCATACCAGAGAAACAACGTGATGTTTAAACATTTGTGTCAGATTTATTTCACTTAAGAGTGTGTTCTCAAGGTGCGTCCATTTACCTAGAAATGTCTCAAGTTTATCCTTCTTTATGACACAGTAGTACTCCATTGTATGAAAAAAAATCCCACATTTCTTTATCCATTCATCCATTAATGGGGATTTGAGCTGTTTCCAAAAATTAGCTATTATAAATTGTGCTGTTATACACACTGGTGTGTATATATATCGCTCTGGTAAGATGCTTTTAATGAATACACCATGAAGGGGAATCGTGGGGTCAAATGGAACCTCTAGTTTTAATTTTTTTTAAGAATCTCCACACTGACTTCCACAGTGGTTGCACCAGACTGCACTCCCACCAACAGTGGAGAAGGGCTCCTTTCTCCCCACAGCCCCGCCAGCATTTGTTATTGGTTGATTTCTTGACAGCAGCCATTCTTTCTGGAGTGAGGTGGAAGCTCAGCATTGTTTTCATTTGCATCTCTCAAATGACCAGTGATGTTGAACATTTTTTCAAATATTTATTTGGTGTTTGTACCTCTTCCTCTGAGAAGCGTCTTCATTTCAGATGCCCATTTTCAGATTGGGTTGTCAGGGATAATTTATACACAGTCACAGCGTGGGGATAATGTGAATCAAACTACAATTAATTTATACTATTACAAATATAATTGTTTAGCTAATATCGATCCAATAGGGAAGCAAGTCACATGGAAAGATCAAAGGCATTCCTGAAAGGGAGGGGAGTATGTCCAGGTGTTCTAGTCACTACCTGTGTATGTGATGCCTGTCTGGGCCACTGGCCAGAGATGCTCCTAACAGTCTAATCTCAAAGGCCTGGCTATCAAGTCTCAACCCTGGTTCCTGGCTCTCTTTCCATTTGCCTCCAGCCACAATTTTGGTGTCTCTATTTTTTTGTGCTAACTTCCTTGAGGGCCCAGTCCCTCTCTGAGTTTATCAATTTCTATTTAACTTAGCTGCCTACAATAAAATCAATCACTCTTTCCTTGCATGTGGAGCATTCAGCAATACGACTCTACCTTTGTGAGATTACTGGTGAGTCTTCTGCATTTGTCTTCATATTTCGTGGATGAATTCTGAGGACTTGGTAAAAAGTGTGTGGGTTCTTTTGTTTGGTACCAGGGATCGAACTCGGGTCCTTGCACTTGCAAGGCAAGCAACGGAACCACTGAGCTAAATCCCTGGCCCAAGAAGTGTAAGTGTGTGTGTGTGTGTGTGTGTGGGTGGGTGGGTGTGTGTGGGTGTGGGTGTGTGTATGTGTCTTATTTTGCCCACTTGCAGGGCAGGTGTCAGCTGCACTACGTATATTCTGGACAGAGATGAAATAATCACCAGTTCACAGACTTACTCCACGGCCTCCTGAACCTCTCCGTGGGTTCTGCCTCCTGTTTCCCCTTTCATGAAGGCCAACTTTGGCTCCCAAGAGCTAGAACAAGGAGAGCTCTAAACACAACCCGCTCCTGTCCTCCACCTTGGAAGGAGGCGGCTCGGGAGGAAGAAAGGAGGGAAGGGACTCCAGGAGAGGTGTAAATACCTGTTTACAGAATCCTGAAAAACACAGCAATCGGAGTGATCTTCAGTAAGGTATCAAGTATTCTTATAAAAACTTGGAGGAGGGAGAATTGTTCTAGAATGGGGTTCACCTTCCACAATCACGGAGAGTAGAACCCATTCACCCAGATTTCTTTTTTTCTTCATGCCAGGGATAGAACCAGGCCCTCATGTATACTAGGCAAACATTTACTACTGAGCTATGCTACCGAGATCTATATATCTCTTTATATTTTGTGGAGTAGACAGGGTCTTGCTATGTTGAACAGGCTGGCTCCCAACGCCTGGGCACAAAGGACTTCCCACTCATCCTCCTGGGAATACTCACATGTGTGCGTCACCTCCCCACCTCAACACTCTCAAGTCTTTAGGAGAAAGAAAGCTGGGAGACAGTTCTCCTACCCTGAGGTAAGCAACTGTTCACTGTTTTTGAAAAGTCAGCCTGAGATCCCACGTTCCCTAGCCAGCCTGGGAGTATAAACCTCCTGGCTCTTCTCTCCTTCCACCGGATTCCTTGGTTCCCAGACAGCATCACAGGACTCAGGGGGAGGGAACTGGGAGGAAGCGGTTGGTGGAGTCCTCCGCATTCCTGCTGTGCAATGCTTTAGGTGAGAGCCTATACTCTTTCCCGCCTTTTTCTTGTTGGCCTCTTCCTGACTGAGGCCTGAGAGAGTCTCCAGGTCCGTGAGCGTCTTCCCTGGGGACCTTGGAGTCCTTTTCTAAAATTTTAAGTTTTTGGGCTGGACTTGGTGGCACACCTGTAATCCCAGCTCTCAGGAGGCTGAGGCAAGAGGATTACTGTGAGTTTGAGGCCAGCCTGGGCTACATAGGGAAACCCTGTCTCCAAAATAAATAAATAAATAAACAAACAAGCAAATAAATAAAGTTTTATTTTATTTATTCTGTGGTCACGTGGATTGAATCCAGGGCCTCCTGTATGCTAGACAAGCACCATCACTGAGCTACACCTCAGGTCTGTATTTATCTTGATGACCCGTCTTCCATGTGGATTTAGTTTTTGGTGGGCAGCTCATTATTTTCTAATTTTTAAAAATTTTTAAATCTTTTTTTGTTTTGTCTTGCTTTGAGACAGGATCTTGCTACGTAGTTCTGGCTGGCCTTGAACTTACTATGTATCCCAGGCTGGTCTTGAACTCATGGTGATCCTCCTGTCTCAGCCTTTTAAAAAAATTTTTTTGGTGGGCATGGTGGCACACGCTTGTAATCCCACCACTCTTGAGGATGAGACCGGATTGCTGTGAGTTCGAGGCCAGCCTGAACTACATAGCAAGACCCTGCCTCAAAAAACAATTCTTTTTTGAGACATGGTCTCACTAAGTCACGAAGTTACATAGGCTGGGGTAGATCTTCCTGCCTTAGCCTCCCAAGAGTGCTGGGATTATAGGAGTGTACCACCATGCCTGACTTAATCTTTTAAAACATAAAAATATTTTCATTCATGATTGTTTTGTTTTTAGAAGTTTTGGTGCCTATGTTTGTATTGTATTTACAGACACAGTAGTAATGAGAGATCACCAAAACAGACAGAGACTAATTCAGGTTTCTTAGTATGGGACCTACAAGTGTGTTCTCTCAGGTTCAGCTCCAACTCATTTTTTTTTTTTTTTTTTGAGTACCGGGGATCGGGACCTTGTTCTTGCAAGGCAGGTGGCGGAACCACTGAGCTAAATCCCCAGCTCCAGCTCATTTTTCAGATGCCAGCAGAAATGTCTCAACCTAAGGCAAAATCCCAGCATCCTCCATCACTGACTCCCATGGTTCTCAGGCTTTTGCTCATAGCCCTGTAACTACTGATTTTCCTCTCTGAAGAGTCTGGAGTGACTCTCCCCAACGCTAAGACACATACTACAACTAGCAATCTTGGTCCAGGTATTAGGCTGTGATTGAGCCTGCTGTGATGCATTCTAGACTGTCTCCCTTTCCCTGAGATTCCTGAAATGGAAAGGGGAAATGGGAGGGAGAAGAGATGGATTCATTTTCAATAGGATCCCAGGGATTCCAAGAATCAGAGTAGTCAGCCATGAGGGACAGAGCGGGTTAGCGGAAAAAGCTTCCTGTGCCTCAGATCCCAGAAATAAAACTAAAAAAAAAAAAAGCCCAGGGTAGTTACCTGGAGCTTAACACAATACAGGGACAGGGTGGTTTTGACCCGGGTCTGTGTTTGATAATGAAACTGCCCTCACCCCTGGCTGTCCTGGTGTCACGGTCCCTGTACTCTGAGGCACAGTGGCGGAGTGAGAGAGCAAACTGAAGGGAAGCCACAGTGAGAGAGGCATTCTCTTTCCCTGAAGAGCTGTGGTGGCCCAGCCTATGCACACAGCTGGCCAGGCAAGGCTGAATCACAAAAAGAAACTACACTTCCTATTAGGAGGTGGACTAGTTTTCCACTTTTCCACTCAGCGGAGCAGGTTATACCAGTTGTAATGCAAAATGTAGGACAAATTGAAGGGGCACAGACAGGAAAGGGGGAAGAGAATGGAATGAGGTTATTCTAGATCATGCCCCGCAGCACAAGCATCAGGTAGGTCAGTGTTGAAACGCAGTTACAGGCTCCATCTCAAGCTTCCTAAGTCCAAATCTGCAGTTTAACAACTTCCTCAGATGTTATATGGACATTCGAGTTTGAAAAGCACTAAGACGGCGAAGGGGGACTTCAAAGCCAATGGTGGGTGTGAGGAGAAAGGTAATGAGAAGCCTCCGGGGGTCGTCTAACAGGATGGGGCCGGTGGGAGGAAAAGGCGTGAGTTTATCTTGGAACAACCTGGACTGAATGGGCGAAGGAGTTCACCTCTGCTGGGATCTCAGAACTACGATAATAGCACCCAAGGGTCTGATAGGCGGATGAAAGGAACACTGGCGCCGACATTAACCACTGCCCCAGCCACTCTCCACTTTATCCTCATTCTCCCAGGTTTCCTACCCCAGGACTTCTCCAATTCCGAGGGAATTGGCCAGCTGGACCCCGTTTGGTGCAGTCCGACTCGGCCTAGTTTGGTTGCTAAGGCTTAGCTCGGTTGTTAAGGCTTGGAGCTTCGCTGCTGCGGAGGAAATGATGTCACGCCTAGGAGGCGGGCTAAACAGATTCTTTCCTCTTTCTGATTGGCCGTCACGAATTTGCCTCGTTTCGCAGTCTCTCGGCCTCCGGGGTTAGTTGTCCGTATCTCTCCCCAGCTGCTCCTATCTTCAAGCAGTCCTCTGCATCTGTGACAAGACTCCGGAGACAATATTCAGTGAGCACGTAGCTTCGGAAGGAAAGATGATTCGAATAATCCGGCTCTTGCCACTATGCTGGGTACTTTGGCCGCTGAGGTATTTTTTGACCCGAATGGGTGTCCGTAGTTGGGGCGGTTACCTAAACTATAGGGAATTGTGGAATTTATAGTTCTGTATTAGGTCTGGGTGGAACCTGGGCTTGAGGATACAGATGTGTTTGTGTCGGGGGGGTAATAGACATTCAGGACTGGAGGCTAGTGAGAAAGAGCCAAAGGAATCTGAATAAGAATATTAATTAGCATTGCTTTTGGTTTTATTTTCAGGTGCTGACCTGAATCTGATCCATCCTCTTCTGACCAAAACCTCTTCTGATCACCCACGGTGAAAGGGATCAGATAGCCAAATGGAGATCCCAGCAGTCAGTCCACTGGGAGTGAAAGACATCTCTCAACCGCAACAATGGGAAAAGAACTCCCAGGAGAACCTTGATTCAACTACTCATTATCGGCAGCAGCCCGGAGACCCTCCTACTGAAACCTTGGAGCAGGGAGTGAGCCCTGAGCCAGCCAATCGAAGTCTAAAGAATCTTCATGAGACTGAAAACCTGGTCGCTGGACTTGAAGGAGACGCTGATAAATCTCATGAATCAATCTGTGAGATGCCGGGGTCCCTTCAAGCTTCTGATCTCTGGTACTGTCCCGATGGGAGCTTTGTCAAGAAGATCATAATCCGTGGCCACGGCTTGGACAAACCCAAGCTAGGCTCCCGCTGCCGGGTTCTGGCTTTTGGGTTTCCTTTTGGGTCAGAGCTGCGGGAGGGCTGGACAGAGCTAACTGTGGGAGTAGGGCCATGGAGGGATGAAACTTGGGGGGAGCTCATAGAGAAATGCCTGGAGTCCATGTGTCAAGGTGAGGAAGCCGAGCTTCAGCTCCCTGGGCACTCTGGACCTCCTGTCAGGCTCACACTGGACTCCTTCACTCAGGGCCGGGACTCCTGGGAGCTGGAGACCAGCGAGAAGGAGGCGTTAGCCAGGGAAGAACGTGCAAGGGGCACAGAACTATTTCGAGCTGGGAACCCTGAAGGGGCTGCCCGATGCTATGGACGGGCTCTTCGGCTGCTGTTGACTTTACCCCCACCTGGCCCCCCAGAACGAATTGACCTTCATGCCAATCTTGCTGCCTGTCAGTTGCTGCTAGGGCAGCCCCAGCTGGCAGCTCAGAACTGTGACCGGGTGCTAGAGCGGGAACCCGGCCATTTAAAGGCCTTATACCGAAGAGGGGTCGCCCAGGCTGCCCTTGGGAACCTGGAAAAAGCAACTGCTGATCTCAAGAGGGTGCTAGCGGTAGACCCCAAAAACCGCGCTGCCCAGGAGGAGCTGGGAAAGGTAGTCATTGAGGGGAAGAAACAGGATGCAGGGCTGGCTCAGGGTCTACGCAAGATGTTTGATTAAAAGTTAAACCTTAAAAGAGACAGGAACCTGTAAATTGTGGTCTGTGCTGTGAGATTTTTAGGGCCTCAGAGGGAGGGTTTCACTCCATGTCCTATTCCCAGCTTTTGCCTCCCTAGGGGAGGTAGCACAGCGGTCTCAGGGCGCCTCTTGGAAGAACTGTGTAAATTTATAAATTTAGGACTGGCTGGGGGACGTGCCGGACCTTTAAATGCTAGGAACTACATTTCCCAGGCCCCTTGTCGCTGGGGACAGTTTAGCGCATGCGCCAGTTTACAGCCCGAGTGTGGCGCACGCGCCAGCTTCGCAGCCTGAGATCCTGGAACCGCGGCCTCCTCCCCGGCGCGCGCATTGGCCCCGCCTGCGCGGTCATCTCTCTCAGTCCATGTGCTCCGCACCCACGTCTCTCACTGGTCCGTGGGACTTCCGGGACAGCCCTCTCATTTCAAAGAGGCAACTGATTAGTTGATGAGGAGGAGAGGCGGGCCTCGGGAACCGTCTCGGGGTCGGGGGGTGGGGGGGAAAGATGGCGGAGCTGATGCTCCTCAGTGAGATCGCGGATCCGACGCGTTTCTTCACCGACAACCTACTGAGCCCGGAGGACTGGGGTGTGCGGAGTGAGGCCTCGGGAGGGGAGGGGGCCGTGGCGAACCGTGTCCCTGAGGCGCGCGCGGGAAGGAAGCGGAAGCTCAAAGGGGAAGGCTGGGCAGATACGGAACCCACCGTCTGAAGGAGGGCGGAGCAGGGCTGGTCGCGCTTTCGGGAGATTTGGGATTGGGAAGACGCGCTGCCGGCGCGAACGCCGAGTTGTTCCGGGGTCGGGGGAGCGGGGCTGCGGCTCTTTGGTTGTGTCGCCTTTCGAGTGGGCGGGCGGTGGGTCCGGCCGCGCAGAGCCAATGAGGGATGGGCCGCGGCCGTGTGCGCGCCCGCGGGCTGAGCCGCTGGGCGACTTTTTGACACGTCACTCCTGCAGACAGCACCTTGTATGCTGGCCTGGATGAAGTGGCCGAGGAGCCTCCGCAGCTCTTCCGCTGCTTGGAACAAGATGTCCCGGTATCGCTAGTGGGGTCGCTGGTGGGAGGGAGTGGTCCGAGCACCAAGGCCAGAGCGCACTTGGAGTTTTCCTCTTTCTCACACCCCTGCCCTCACAACTTAAATCGTTCAGTTTGACAGCAGCTCCGTGGATGTGGGAATGGATGCCAGCCCCCCCGAGCCCCCTTGGGACTCTCTGCCTATCTTCCCAGGTGAAATATCCTTTGTGATTCCCTCATCCTCCCATCCCACGGTCCCCCAGAAACTGTATAATGTTCTGTGTCCTAACACCTTCTGGTCCACGTCCTGGGGAGGACGTCGCCAGCCCCTTGTCCTGCAGCACCTCAGACTGTTCTCAGGCGCGGCGGCGGCGGCGTCCTGATTACTTTCTGACCCCTTTTCCTGCAGATCTTCAGGTGAAGTCTGAGCCATCCTCCCCCAGCTCTTCTTCCTCCCTCATCTCTGAATCTTCACATCTCTCCGCAGAGCCCTCCAGCCAGGTCAGAGGGCCACCTGCTTCCTGTTCCCTGTGGCAGGGCCTCGTCCCCTGCGCCCATAGGTGCTGAGGGAATTATTTGTATGCTGTGGGTCATGTTTGGGGGCTTCTTCTGCCTTGGCCCTTTCTGTAATAGCCTCCTCTCCCGTACTTCAACCCTGAGTGTTAGCGGAGTCTTTCATACACAGAGCTAGGTGTCACCAGTGGGTGGAGCAGAGAACAGAGTTGTTAACTGCTGAGAATTCTGCTACTGTTCCAGCTGAAGTTGTTCACTGTAGAAAATCACCAGACTTCATCAGGCCTCCCAGGAATAACAGAGAGCAGAGACAGAATAGAGAGCTTGAGACAGCACAGGGGATGCTCCTTACCACTCGGACCACAAGGTCAAATACCTGGTGCTTTGCAAGCTCGAAAGCTCTTGTTCCTGCCCTTACTCTCAAGACGTCCCTTGTTTTCTTTCCTTCTTTCTGTCTCCCCGGACCCTGTCACCAGGCCCCTGGAGAAGGGGAGGTGCTGCACGTGAAGTCAGAGTCCTTGGCACCCCCGCTTTGCCTCCTGGGAGATGACCCAACATCCCCATTTGAAATCGTCCAGATCACTGTGGGGCCCTCTGCTGGTGATCCCTCAGGTAATGACTGCCCGGCGCAAACCTGGGCTTTGCCAAGGTGGAGTTGTAGATGGGTACTTGTGTGTATAGGTGGAGCAGGGGGTGTAGGCAGCAGGACAGGGAGGACAGTGTGGGGAGAGGAGATCAAAGGTAACTAGGAGAGATGCCCTGAAGGAAAGGGAGAGTTTTCAGAAACTAAAGAAAGGGCAGCATTGAATAGACAGAGATGACTCTCTTTTTCTTGTTCTTAGCATCCTGTGTGTCATTCAGCTCACCATTAATTTGTATTTTTAAAATAACTCGTGGATGGTTCAAGTACAGTGAGTGATACCTCAGTTGTCAAACTCAGTTTGTTCCAAACCCATGTTCGAACACCAAAATGTTCAAGAACTGAATATATTTTTCCCGTAAGAAGTAATGGAAAACCAAATAATTGGTTCCGAGACCCAAAAATTACACTTATAAATTCACTTGTCCAGGACTTTAACAAATTTTGCAATGATTTCGTTCTTTATTGTGGTTCTCAGTTTTCCTCTTAGCTTTACTGCTGGTATCACTAACTTTTTTTGGAGGCATATCTGTTATTTTATGCAAATAAAGAATTTAAAAAAGCCCAGTGACAAATGTTTTAATGCACAAACACAAGCACTGTGTGTTGTCTGGGTGGGAGTAGTGCTTACACTGAAGTGTGTCATCCCTGTGTCCATGGCGAGACACAGCGAGTGACTGACTCACTCTTGGCCTCTCTGGGTTTTGTCAAGTTAGATTTTCGGATCGGCTGTCAAGCAAAGTTAGGAATACTGAGTACATTTTTTTTGAACTTTGCTGTTCAAGGAGTGGAAAATTCGAGCTCGGAGCCATTTGACACCAAGGTATCACTGTATGTATAGCCAGCAGCCTGTGGCCACTTGCTCTCTCTTTTGAAAAGTTAAAAAATATTTTTAAAAAATAGCTGAGATTGGTGGCACGCCCCTATAATCCCAGCACTTGGGAGGCAGAAGGATCACAAGTTCAAGGCCAGCCTGAACTACATATCATGTCTCAGAAAAAGTTTTGTTAATTATATGTGGTCCAAAAATGCTTCTCTTCACTCACTGTGGCCCAGGCAAGCCAAAAGGTTGGACATCCATGGGTAGGAAATATTTATGTTATTTTTTTTCTGAAGGTCTCACTATATAATTCAGCCTGGCCTTGAACTCACTGTGGAGCCCAGGCTGGCCTCATCTCACTGCAATCCTCCTGCCTCAGCCTCCCAAGTTCTGGGATCATGGGCGTGCGTCACTCAGTTTATTTTGTTTTTAATTGATATAGACTGTTTGTGCTTATTTATAGTGTTTGTGCTTATTTATAAGATACAGTATTATAATTTGTTGTTGTTTTTTTTTTGGTACTGGGGATCGAACTCTGGTCCTTGCGCTTGCGCAGCAGGCGGTGAAACCACTCAGCTAAATCCCCGGCCCGTACTGTATTATAATTTAATATGTAGGTATTAAATAATATAATGATCAAATCAGGTTAATTAGCATTTCCATCTGCTTAAATGTTAGCGCTTCCATGTGTTGGGGACTGAAACGACTTTGAAGGACACATAGATCTTAGCCAGAAGGAGGATGTAGGGCCATATGCATGTGGGGACCCAGAGTAGACATGAGGAGAGTAGTGCAGACGTTCAGAGTTCGTGGGCCAGGCGGGCCCCGAGAAAGGGCCCTTTGGTTTCATCCTGCAGAGCCGGGAGTCTGAGGAGTCACACAGGGAGCAGTAATTAGGATGATGACCGTGGTGGCAGAGGGTTGCAGAAGGTTGGACTGCAGACAGGAGGACCAGGCGGGGTCACGCGATTAGTCAGGACATGCAGATGCCACGGAGAAGGCAGGTTTGGGAAGGAATGGAGGAGAAAGGGAGCTGCAGTGACCTGGGCACCGAGAGGGAGATGCCTGGGCTCCGGCCTGGGCAAGATGCTGAAGTCGGAATGAGCCCTGGCGGCTGACAAGGATGCAGTGCCTTGTGGGTCTCTTGGCCCGGCCTCTGTCCAGCTGAACTCCAAGTAGAAGCTGGAGGGCAAGGGAGTCCTTAGGGGAGCCTATTCAGATATTTTCCCCAGGCCTCAATAAGGCAGGGAAGGGTGGAGAGTGGATTTGGAGGGACAAATGGGTCATACAGAGATTAACTGTTACGAAGAAGACACAATACAAATTAAAACACCGTCAGCAGCAAAGACCATTTGTGCTTTGCAAAAGATGGTATTATTAAAATCAGACTCTTTCCTAATATCCAGGTGTTTTTTGAGGGCCTGTATTTTACTTATGACTATGATAAGAGCATAGGTTTTTGAGGGTTACAACCCACCATGGTTAAATAGTTCTAATAGCCGTCCCTTCTGAAGAGGAGCCGTGGGTGGCTGGGAGACAGAAGGGAAGATCTACTTTGCGTGGAACTTCCCCTTGTTTCTCTGGAATCGGCATCATAGGATTGTATCTCTCTTGGTAGTTGTACCGTTTGACTATTACCTATCAAAGTAGAAGCCACATTAATGAGTGGCGGGGACCCAGGTAGTGTGGACAGCTGCCCTCGGGGCTGCATGGGCCCCCACGGGTTTTGTTTCGCCTGAGTGAGGCCTCACGGACACTGGTGTCCACGGGGTGATCAACAAGCTGTAAAGAGGCCGAACAGAAGCCATGAAGTCTTCTTGCTCAGAGCTGACTTGGGCTTCTCGCTTAGGGCCTGGGAGACTGACATACAGTGGATGGGAACTTGTGAAAAGGCAGGAGCAGTGAGCCTTGCTTCAGGCCCGTTGATCTTAAGTATGGGCTGGGGGGTGAGGATGGAAGCTCGGGCTCAGAGTCCAGATCGGGCGTGCGTGGAGGTCATCAGGACGCGAGCTTGGCGCCCAAGGTTTGTTGGGCCAGGGTGGGCTGAGAGCCCGGAAGATGGGGACGGGCTCCTAACGCGAGGACGCCCTGCTGGGGTGCCTCCTGTGAGTGCGCATGGTCTGCCGGGGGGAGGAGGGACAGTGGGCAGGGAGAGCCTTGAGGAGACCTAGCAGTGGTGAGCAAAATGAGAGGAAGGCAGCAAGGAGAGGAGGGAGGAGAGCCGCAGTTGGCAGCTCCGCAGCTCCTCCTGCTCCAGGGTTGCCGCCTAGGGCCAGAATAGTGAGACGTCCCCAGAGGAACAGCTGCTTCCCTTCCTCTTCAGTGTTCACCTGACGGCCGGCTTTGGTTTCTCCCTGCCACTCCACAGATGTCCAGGCCAAGGTGGAGCCTGCCTCTCCATCCTCCTCCGTCAACTCGGAGGCATCCCTGCTCTCAGCGGCCTCCCCCAGCCAGGTGTGCATCGCGTCCCTCTCTTCCTGCAGCCAGCGCAGCCTCTGTTGCTCCTCCCCGAGCCCGGCTGTCCTCTGACTGACCTCTCTGGCGGCCCCACACAGGCGTGTGCAGGTGAGGAGGTGCTGGAAGTGAAGGCAGAGTCTCCATCCCCTGCAGGGTGCCTACTCTGGGATCCCTCGGCCCCCACACTCGGAGCAGTCCAGATCAGCATGGGTCCGTGCCCTGAAAGTTGCTCAGGTGAGAGGGCTTCCTGAGCCCAGGGCCCCTGGTCAGAGCCCCTTGGGCCTGAAATGTCTTCCTTGCCTCCTTGCCTCCTCCAGCCAAAGCCCCGCCTGCCCGGAAGCCACCACTGCAGCCCAAACCCATGGTGCTCACCACCGTCCAGATGCCACCCAGAGCCGTGCCTCCCAGCACTGCAGTTCTGCTGCAGCCGCTTGTCCAGCCGCCTGCAGGTGGGGGAGGGAGGGCCCGGCCGCTCACCCTGTCAGGGAGCGCAGTGGGTGTGGACACAAGGACCCTGACCTTCTGCTCATTTGCCTCAGTGTCCCCAGTCGTCCTCATCCAAGGTGCTATCCGAGTCCAGCCCGAAGGGCCAGCCCCCGCTGGGCCACGGCCTGAGAGGAAGAGCATCGTCCCGGCCCCTATGCCTGGGAATCCCTGCCCGCCTGAGGTGGACGTGAGTACTGGGCGGGCAGAGCACTAGGGACGGGCAGACAGGAAAGCTCGGAGACAGCCACAGGTGAGGAGGGCATTAGGTTCCGGGGCAGAGGCGAGCTGTAGACCTGTGTGACGGTCCTGCCCGTCAGTGTGGCCCCCTGCGGTACGAACAGCCTGTGGTTTGGGGGCCCTTAGGTTTGCCCTCAGTGCTGGTAGAGAAATGGGGGTGGTCTCGGGAAAGCAGGCGGCAAAGTCAAACTAAGGGTTGAGATAGCAGAGGAGAGCGGCTGCTTCCCAGGGGGAGCCAGACGGACTGCTCGTCACTCACGGCAAGGTTAGACGTGGGCTCTGAAAAGGAACATCGGGAGGAAAGCACCAGGAAGGCCCCAGGGGAAGGAGGCCGTGTGCCTCTCCACCTCCGAGGACCAGATGGTTGGGAGAGGGGTCCTTCCGCCCAGTGGAGGGGTTAGGACAGAGGCGCTTGCCCTTTGGCTGTGCAGGTAGGGTTTGGAGGCAGGGGATGTAGTTGGTCCCGGCCGGGACGTGGGCTGCTCCATCTCACCTTCATCCGCCCGCGCCCCATTACCAGGCAAAGCTGCTGAAGCGGCAGCAGCGCATGATCAAGAACCGGGAGTCGGCCTGCCAGTCCCGGAGGAAGAAGAAGGAGTACCTGCAGGGGCTGGAGGCGCGGCTACAGGCCGTGCTGGCAGACAACCAGCAGCTGCGCCGGGAGAATGCTGCCCTCCGGCGGCGCCTGGAGGCCCTGCTGGCCGAGGTCGGCCTGGTCCTCCCCGGGAGGTGGGCAGCGGGCGTGGGGCTGCCTGGGAGGTGACTCCCTGCCTCCCTCCTCTCCTCCTTCGCACCTCAGAACAGCGAGCTCAAGTTGGGGTCTGGAAACCGGAAAGTGGTCTGCATCATGGTCTTCCTTCTCTTCATTGCCTTCAGCTTTGGCCCTGTCAGGTGAGCACCCGGCCTCAGGTGAGATTGCCTGATCGTCTCTTCGGCAGGGTCGGGTTCCTCCCACCAGCACCCAGACGCTTCGGTGTGTAGCACGATGGCGGTGGCATATGCAGCAGCGCCTCGTGCTCGGCCGTTTGCCGTGGCGTGGCGTGGTGTGGGGTGAATGGTGGCGACGGTATTGGTGAAACAGTGACCGTAGGGGCTGAGTTCTAGGCTCCAGGTTAAGCGCTGTCCTTTTCTTGTTTCTGGCCCTGTGAGGTGGGGACGCCTCCTGTTCCCGGCTCACAGATGAGAGCACTCGCACCTCAGTCGGGTGCCGCTCATGTGCTCTGTCCCTCCCGCTCACAGCATCGGTGAGCCTCCTCTGGCTCCCGGCTCCCGGGTGGGCGGGCAGGAGCCCCGGCCCCGGCCCCAGAGGCACTTGCTGGAGTTCTCAGAGCTGCAGCCGGCTCAGGGCACAGAGCCCCTCCGGGGGTCCCCCCAGGGCCCCAAGGGGCGGCAGCCCAGCCCTGCAGCCCAGCCCAGCTTCAGGTGAGGAGCGGGAGCGGGAGCGGGAGCTGCTCCTTGCCACAGGAGTGGGGGCAGCCTCATGGTGGCCTTGTTCCCTCCCTCGCTCCAGGAACCTGACAGCCTTCCCCGGGGCTGCCCGGGAGCTGCTGCTGAGGGACCTGGACCATGTCTTCCTGTCCTCCGACTGCCGGCACTTCAACCGAACCGAGTCCCTGAGGTGCAGCGCCTTGGCCTCCACGGACACCTGTGCTCCATATCTGCGCCAACAGGGAGGGCCCGGAAGGAGGCTGCGTGGCCCGGCCCAGACGTGTTGCTCCTCTGCTTCCCAGGCTTGCCGATGAGCTGAGCGGTTGGGTGCAGCGCCACCAGAGAGGCAGGCGGAAGAGTCCCCTGAGGGCCCCGGAGAGACAGGAGAGACAGGTAGGTGCACTGGGGCCAGGGCTGATGCCCCGAGGGTGCCAGGTGGGAGCGGTCTGGGGGAAGGAGGTGTGCGGAGTCTCCTTCCCTTCTCCCTTGCCCTCTCCACATCCTTAGATGCCTCTCCTTCCAGAGGTCTCAGCCACGCAAGAAGCCGCTTCCAGTGAAGGCCGTCCCCGCCCAGCCCCCCGGGCCCCCGGAAAGGTGAGTGTGGGGGAGGGTGCCCTTTACCCTGCTGGAGGCCACTCTGCAGGTCTCACTGTCACCAGCAGGATTACGGGCTCTGGGCGTCTTCCCTTCCCCCAGGGCAGTGGCGGGGGGCTCACACCCGAACCCTGCTTCCCCACCCGCCTAGGGACCCCGTGGGCCAGCTGCAGCTCTATCGCCATCCAGACCGCTCGCAGCCAGAGTTCCTGGATGCGATTGACCGTCGGGAGGACACGTTTTATGTTGTCTCCTTCCGAAGGGTGAGTCTCCTGCCCAGCCTGCCTGCCCTCTGGGCCCCTGAAACCTGTCCCTGTCCACAGGGGGAGGGTGGAGACGGGGTGGGGGCTCCTGGACACCTCCCTCCATCACCCGGCCTGCCCGTCGCTCCCAGGACCACTTGCTGCTTCCGGCCATCAGCCACAACAAGACCTCCCGCCCCAAGATGTCCCTGGTGATGCCCGCCATGGCCCCCAATGGTAATTCTTTCCCTCTGGGGGAGAGGAGGGGAGGGATCCTGAAATTGAGGAAGGGGGACGTTCCAGTAGGGAGGGGAGATGGGGCGCCCAGGGAGGTGGTAGGCTCTGGGGAAGAGCAGCAGGAAGTGAGCAGAGAACAGCGCCAGGGACTGGTGGGAGGAGGACAGGTGCAGGGCCTGTGCTGCAGGGGCTCGGCGGTGGCTGAGCAGAGAGGGCTGAGCCGGGTGCTAGCCCCGCCTTCCTGTGCGTCCCTTTCTTCTGTGGGCACTTAACTCCCACCTGGGCCCCTCCTCCCTGCTTCCCACAGCTCCTGACCACAGCCCGATCTGACCCCCCAATCTCCCCTCACAGAGACCCTGTCAGGCCGGGGGGCCCCGGGGGACTATGAGGAGATGATGCAGATCGAGTGCGAGGTCATGGACACCAGGGTGATTCACATCAAGACCTCCACCGTGCCCCCCTCACTCCGAAAGCAGCCATCCCCAGCCCCGGGCAATGCCACGGGCGGCCCCCTGCCAGCTTCTGCGGCCAGCCAGGCCCACCGCAGCTCCCGGGAGCCCCTCTACCTCAGCCACCCCTGACTCGGACTGGGGCGGGGTGCACAGTGACCACGGGGGTCTGCCTCCTCGGATCCCCCTCATCCTGCGCTCGGGCAGTCTGCCCAGGAGGGACAGGGTTGGGGTTAAGCACTTAGTTGGGAATAGGGCGGCTCCCCTCTGCCCACCCCTTTCTGAAATACAGGGCTCCTCACTCCTGTGAACCCCCAGTCCCTGCTTCATCTGAGGTTGCTGAGTAAGGTTCAGTTTTGGGGGGGCGCTCACATACTCTGTGTTCTTTGTTCCTGTTTGGGGTGTGAAGCCGGGTCCAGGTGGGACAAGGGAAGTTTTTACATTTGGAGTTAATAGGAATAAAGGAGGGGTAGTGGAAGGAGATAAGGTTTACACGTGTGTTGGTTGCTCTCTTTTTTATTGTTAAATAAACAAGGTGGAGGGAGTCAAGGATGGTGGCCGCCTTCCTGGCTCTGTGACTTCCACAGGGCCAAGCACAGGGACACAGCTGGAGAGGGGTGGGGTCCAGACCTCATGTCATCCCTGGCCCCGGGCTGTGACAGGGCAGAGCGTCTGTGGGGGACACCAGAGGATACGGATGCTGGAATGTGTCTGAGTAAACAGAAAGGGCCCACGCCCTACAGCCACCCCAGACCCCGCTGTCACTGCCTGTCACTGTCGGGCAGGTTCCCCCCAGGACGAGCAGCTGAGCAGCCAGCACAAACAGCAGCATCTGGGCAGAGGGTGTGGAGCCCGGGACGGGGGCTGCAGGGGCAGTGTGGGCAGAAGCGCGAGCTGCGGGAGTCCACAGCCCTAAACCTGAGGGTCCACCACGCAAAGCCTGTGTGGCTCCGGTGGAGAGGACTGCATCCTGAATAGGAGGAAGGGGAGCGGGGCAGAAGGGTGACCCCCAGCCCCTCCTGGGAGGCCCCCGCCAGCTGTGCCCCAAGCCTGACCCGCGGGAGCGGCCTGGGTCAGCGCAGGGTGTGAGCCAGGCCTGGGCCCCACGCCCGGATGACCGGACAGGGGCTGCCCGGGCCAGAGGCCAGGCCGGGAGGAGGGAGGGAGAACCTCACGTGTCCTGCCAGGCTCTCCGGCCTCGCACCCGCCCCACAGTGTTTGGGGGGAAAACAGACCCAGTAACTATGGTAACCTGGAACTGGGGCTCCCAGGAACTTCAGCTCACTTCCCTCCAGGGGGCAGCCCTGGTCCTAGGCCAAGCGTCCTGTCCGGGATCCCTCAGGCCTTCTCCAGGCTGCCCTGGTGGTAAGGCCAGGAGAACCAGAACCTTGGAAACAGCTCACCTGAGCGGGCTCTGGCCTCGCCTGTTACCCATCGATGTCCTGAGACCCTTGGGGCTGCAGTGCCCTCGCCCCTTCCCTGGGAGACGGGCATCAGCGATGGTGCTGCTGGGCCACCGCACGCCTTGTCCTCGCTCCGTGCTCCTTTCTGTCCTGTCCTCTCCTTGCTCTTCTTGTCCTCTCTTCCCGCTTTATCCCATCTGGCTTTCTCCCTCCTGATCCCAGGGAGCAAAGTGCCTGATGGGGGGACACACTGCACCTCTGCTGAGTGGCGGGGGACCGCTGGCCTTTGGGTGTGAACCAGGAGTGGGGTGGCCAGGAGGACAGAGCTGGGGCTGCACGCAGACCCTGCCCTCCCCACCACTGCTCTCTGTCCTCCACTCGCCTCTGTGCTCCTTCCTCTGATTCCCACCTTCTGTCCCCTGGCATCCCCCATGCCACTGTCCCTTCTGTTCCTCTTTTCGCAGACTTCTCGCCTGCCTTTCTTTGTCTTCTGCCCCAGCTCGGCATCACTATTTCTTTGTGGTACCGGGGATCAAACTCAGGTCCTTGCACTTTAGAGGCAGGCCGTGGAACCACTGCACTAAGTCCCCGGCCCCATGGGCATCACCGTCTTGTTGACCCTGGCCTCCTGGGTTCCCTCCTCCCTCCTCTCCTTTGTATTTCCTCCCTCTGTCTGCTTCTTGGTCTCATCTCCTGCTGCTGACCCCATGCACACCACTCCCCGGTCTCTCTTTCTCCTTTGTCCACATTCCTTGTCCCTTTCCATCACTTCCTCTCCCTCCCCGCTCGGTCTTCTCCTCCTCCTCCTCTCTCCCGCTCCCTCCACTTTCCCATCCAGTCCTCTGTCCTTTCCCAGCTGTGGGGGCCAGGCCTGGGGAACCTAATGTTTGCCTCATCATTCTGCTATGGCTCCTCGATACAGCACATCTGGATTCCGGGGCCCAGATGTGTGGTTGCCACAGCGACCTTGGTCCCTCTGGTAAATACAGGCGCCCACCCATCCCAGAACATAGAACAAAACAATTGTGTGGCTTTTCTTTTGTCACGAGATAGAAATGTCCTCCCTCCTCCCTTCACACACCCATGTCTCCGGGCAAAGGAGCCTCTCAGGTCCAGACCCGTCCCTCTGCGGCTCTCCTGCCCCTGTGTTCAGCCCTGGCCTCGTAGTTCTCTCGATCTTTCTTCTTTTTTTTTTAGTGGGGATCGAACTCAGGACCTTGCGCTTTTGAGGCAGGCGGCGGAACCCCTGAGCTCAATCCACGGCCCTCTCTCTATCTCTCTTCCCAGGCTCTTTTCTTTCCACATTCTCCATCCTCACTCCTGCCTTCTCCACAGTGAATGTTGACGCCCCTCACACACACACACACACACACACACACACACACACACAAAACGTGTGAGGTAGTTTCTTCTCACTAAGTCTGCAGCTTAATTGGATGCAGAAAGAAGCTGCAGAAGCCCAGGCCTTCCACCCTTCAGCAAGGCCTTCAAGAAGCCACTCCATTTGCTTCTGGTGGAAGCCCTCGGTCCCGCCCTTCCCAGAGCCGTTATGGCAGGGGAGAGAACCCTGGCTCTGGAATCAGAAGCCCACCTTCATCACTATCGAAGTCCTTGGACAAACCCTCCGCCATCTGGCAGCCTCTGTTTGCTCACCACGAAGTGGGATTAATAAAATGCCTGCCCTGTAGGAAACTGCTGTGTAAACGGAAGCCAGTACAAATATTTCCTATCTCTTCCCCTCTCGGGGCCGCTTCCTTGGATCAGAGCCTCTGGCCTCTCTTGGTTTCTCTTTTTCAGGTCCTTGCCCTCAGTTGCCCTTCCTCTTCTTTACCTTCTGCTCTCTTCCTCTTTCCACTTTTCCTCTTTTCTTTCTTCCTGTCTTTTCTTTTTTTGGAGACAGGGTCTCGCTATATAGTTCAGGCTGGACTTGAACTTGCTGTGTAGCACAGGGTGGCCTCGAACCTGCAGCCCTCCTCATGCTGCTTTTCTACTATGTCTTCCATCATCTATGTCTTCCATCAAGGTCCAGACTGGCCCTTGGAGGGTCAGTCAAGGATGGAGGCTGAGAGCTGAAACACCTAGACTGAGGGATCTGGAACAGCCCAAGTCCAGGGACAGTTCTGGACAATACCGTCCCCTCTGCTTGGGACATGTCTGTGAAGCCAGCCCTAGCTCTGACCTGTGGGCTTCCTGGCCTCTTGCCTGTGGTTCCCTATCCTGTCCTAACCCTTTCACAGTTTGTTGTTGACAAGCATTTATTAGGCACCTGCTGTGTGGGGCTTGATGCTTTTCTGATGAGAGCCATAGGTAAGACATGAGGTCCTGCTGGGTGTGGTGGCTACGCCTGTGATCCCAGCACTCAGGAGGCCCAGGCTGGAGAATCACCATGAGCTCGAGGCCAGCCTGGGCTAACAGTGAGTTCTAGGCCAGCCTGAAGTACATAACGAGACCCTGTCTCCAAAAACATACAAAAAATGAGGTCCTTCAAGAGACTGAAATCCAGATGAGTCAAATTTTAGGGGATGAGTATTTCAGAACCTGGAACTATGCCAAGCTTCCAGTGGCTCCCCCAAATGCTCTGTAAGCTCCTAAACATCTGGAACCCCACATTCCTGCCCAACACCTCAGCATTCAGTCCCCAGCAGTGGGCTTCCAGAGCTCCCCAGGGTCATCCTCCCGGCCCTTGCTTCTCTCCAGAGCCTCCTGGTCACTGGGCCAGAGGTACTTATGGTGACCATACCTGCTGAATAACAAGGCTGAGCCCCACTGGGGGAGGTGCATCTGGCCAGAACACACGTCTGAAGAAGGACGGTGTCGGAGGAGAGCCACACTCTTAGCATGCCACTGTCCCCGTGCAAGGCTGCTTCACGACCTCCCTCACCTACCGCCTGCCAGGAGACCAGAGGGGGCTGCTACCTAGTCAGGCTCTGGGGGTGTCAGGCCAAGGCCGAGGAAGGAAGCTGCGCCCAGCTCTGTCCAAGAGGCTGACTTCATCCTCCCCATCAAAGCCAGGAAAAAAACAGACATACACACCCAGACACACGGACATGCACGGGGACATCATGCGACCGCCCATGTGTGCTTCCATCCTCAGCCACATGCTGTGCAGTGTCCCGAGACCCGGACTGCAGGCCTGACCCAAGGCGGGCACATGGGCACCTGGGGCCACGTGTGGTGCCAGTGGGCCCATCACATCCCTTCCCCATCTCTTATCCCTTGGCTAAGGTGACCTCTGGTGCAGGGTGAGGTGCTGGAGAGGACTTCTCCTCAGTGCAGAGCCTGGGTGGGTTCCCCTCAGCCTGGCTGTTTCTCCTCTGGCAAAAGCCGCCTCTCCAGCCCCGCTCAGGGCAGCCCTGGGGAAATGAGCCGGGAACTTGGAGCGGGCTTCCCTGGGATGTCTGCCTCCCTGTCAGCCTGGTTCTCTGGCTGAGTCTGTCCGCCTGTCTGCCCTTTTCCTCCAGCCCCTAACGCTCTCCCTGCCTGCCCCCCAGGCATCACCCCCATCCATGTGCCCCTGATATTGGCCTCCTGCCTGTGTACCTTGCTCCTAACCATCAGGCTTTCCTTCCTGGTGTTCAGCCAAGTTGTTGCCCAGCCAGCAACCAATCCCACCGCCATTTCTCTAGGAATTTGTTGCAGTGGGAGGATGGAAAGGCAGCAGGAATCTCAAGATAAGAACAGGAGGCTGGCAGGGAAGAACTCAGGCAGTTCAGAGGGCCTAGTGGCCAGAGAGATGGAAGGGCAAGGAGGGCGCAGGTGGAGCAGTCGGGTGGGGACTGAGAAGAGGGCTCCAGTGCAGAAACCTCTGGGGCCACACTTTCCCAAGACACCAGCAGCTAAAGAATTGGGGGATGAAGGAGCCCAGGCTGAGCAGCGGACGGGGTGAGGTCCAGGGGCAGGGGAGCGTGTTGGCAGAGAGGAATGTGAGGTTGGGCAGAAATCAGGGTGGGGAAGGGGTTTCCAGTGGCAAGGGGACTCCGCGGTCCTGGCAAGGGGGCCGGGGTGCTGGCGGAGGCCGAGGGTGACGTGCGGGAGGGTCTGGCAGGGAGGGAGGGAGGGAGGACCTGCCCCAGCCGAGCCCCCCCCCCCGCTTGCCCCCCCCTCCCCCGCCCGCCCCAGGCTCCCTCCTCCTTTCTGTCGCTGCGCAGATGCACGGTCGGCAGTCTCGCCGGTGGTGGCTCGGTGAGCCGCTGCTGTGAGGGACAAGCGAGGGGGCCCGAGAGTCCAGAACTGCCGGACTGCCAGGGGGAGCCCACCGGCCCTGCCGGAGACGGCGCGGACGGAGTCCCGGAGCTGCGCACGGAGCAGGTGCCGAGGCGCGGGCGCCGCCCGTGGTCCAGGTGAGGCCGGCGCCCTGGAGACGCACGGGGCCGCGCCGGCGGGGCGAGGCACCCGGACTCCTTGGGGAGGGCGTGGTGGCGTGGCGGGTGCGGGTTTGAGCGCATGCCGCACCGAGGGGCCGGGGACAAACTGGGGCCCGATGGCCGCGCCAGGGTGCAGAGGGCTACTGGTGAGGTGCTGGGCCCGGCTGGACTGGGGACGGCGCGGAGGGGTCCGCGGTTGTGGTCGGTGTGTGCGTGTGCGTGCGTGTGTGTGTGTGTGTGCAGCGTCCAGAGGGGCGCCCCGTGCCCGCGCAGGTCCCAGGCCCGGCCAGGGTCTGGGGAGGCTGAGGCCCCGGGCAGCGCCCACACGGGCGGGCTCGGCGCAGCCTGCAGCGGTCCGGGCTCCCCCAGCTCGGCCGCCTCCCACCCCGCGCACGTGATGCTCGGGCGCGGGCAGGGCCTTATCTCGTCCGGAAAGAATTTAACGGCTTAGGAACAACTAACTGGAAGTGGAGCTGAGGAAACCACTGGGAGCAGCTCGGAAACGCCCGCCCGCGCTGTGGGCGCCGCCCGGCCCGACCCGGCCAGCAGCGCTGCCCCTCGCGCTTCCCCTCACCTCCGCGCTCGTGCGGGGTCCGACCAGCCCTCCCGCCTCTCGCGGTTCTCCGGACCTGTCCCCCTGCGGGGCCGGCAAGAGCTCCCGTTTCCCCTTCCCGTGGCCCATCGCCCACTCCTGAAAAGGGGCGTCTGGGGCCCTAACTGCTCCTCACTCGCGCCACCTGCTTCCTACCTGCTGTGAGCCCAGTGCCTGATAGCCCGGCCCGGCCCACATCCTCCTCCGCTCCCCGTCCCAGGTCCTGCCTTAGCCCCAACAGCCGGAGTCGCGGGGCGTCGGGCAGGAGCGAGCCCCCACCTCCCGACGTCTCCGCCGGAAGCCCGCCCTTCCCCATCCCCTGGGACCTCCAGCCCCGGATGAGCGAAGCGTCAGAATTGGCCACAGCACTGAATACCGGGGTGCTGAGTCACAGTTTGGGAAGGCGCCCCCCGCCCCGACCCCGCCAGGCCTCCAGCTGTGGCGAGGGTGCCAAGGAGGCGAGGCCGCCCTCCAGCCACACTTCGGAGAGGTGCAGAGGAAGAGCTGAGAGATACCCGGCCGGCCGAGAGAAGGGCCATGGCGGGGGGGACCTCGGCTCAGCAGCCGCCCGTTCTGCAGAGAAGCCCAGGGCCGGTTCTCCACTCCTTCCTGCTGCCAAGAGCCCCTTGCCCCAGCGCACGGGCAGACAGGCTCCAGTTGTCCGGAGGAGGGGCTGGTGACTCGGGGGATGTGAGGAAGCCCAGGGCCCGAGTCGCCTCTGTGCCCACTCCGAGGGGCTCCCGTTTGGTTCCCTGCTGACCTCCAAGCCGACGAGGAGCCTGCTTTCTTAGGCGTCACCCATGAGGAGATGTGAAGGGGCTGACAGGGAGGTTGTGTGTGTGCCCATGCGCACGTATGTATGTGCACATATGTACATACACATGTATGCCTGCAAACATGCAGGCTGGCGTGGGTGGCTATCTGTGCATATGGACAGGTATATTATATTTATATTTGTATTTCTGAGAATTTTGGGGGGCGGTTTTTGGATCAAACTCGGGTCCTTGCACTTGTAGGGCAGGCAGCAGAACACTGAGCTAAAATTTTTTGGTTTTCGAGACAGTGTCTCGCTGTGCAGTTCAGGCCGGCCTTGCGTTTACTATATGTAGCTTGGGCTGGCCTCAAACTCATGGCAGTCCTCCTGCCTCAGCCTCCCGAGTTCAGGGATTACAGAGTGCACCACCACGCCCAGCCTCATGCCTGGGCTTGTGATGAGCACTGATGAATAGATCTTCCGTGTCACATTGTGCACGAGCCCCGTGATTGGTGGGGGATTTGCATGGCCTCAGACAGAGACAGGGAGGGGGGCCCAGAGCCACCTTTTCCCAAGGTGCCCCTCCAGGTGGAGAGAAGGGCAGAGGCAGGGGCAGGGCAGCTGTCAGCACCTGCTCGTCTCCCTGGGCCTCCTGGGGTCGGGGCGCCCCGGGAAGCAGTCTGTGTTCCAGCTCCCCCTCTGTCTCTTGAGGGTGAGAGGAAGAAGTGTGCCCGGAACCCCCTTTTCCTTGACCCAGGGGAGCCAGCAAACACCTGTGTTGGGGGAAGAGGGTCACAGGCCCCCAGCTGCGGCCCCACCTCTCCCAGTCAGCATTTCCTGCTGCTGCTCTGCTCTCTTCAGCCTCTCTGCTCTGGAACAATGGCACCCGCCAACCCAGTTCCTCCTAGCTCCTCCCCAGCATAAAGCCCAGATGTGTCCCCTGGAGCCCTCTTTCCTGTCTCACCTTTCCTGCTTCACCCCATCTCTCCTGCTTCCCAGTCTGTGTCAGAGAATTCCACAAACACATCAGGATAACCACCACCCAGACTGAGAAACAGTATTCCCGCATTCAGTTTCTAGCACCACACACACCGCCCCCAAATGAATAAATAAATGTTTTCAAAGCATCTAGGTGTGTAGTTCAGTGATAGAGCATTTGCCTAATATGTGCAAAGCCCTGGGGTTGACCCACAGCAAAATAAATAAATAAATAAGGATTCTTATCCTCCCAGAATTCTCCCAACGTGGCCCTCTGGCCACTACCCCCACAAGAGGACCATATTTTGGACTCAGAACCCTACAGCCTACCACCCTCTCTCCTCCAACCTCATTTAAATAGAATTATCCAACATGTTCTCTTATGCAGCTGGCTTCTTTTGCCCAACCTCAAATTAGTAAGATCCATCCACATTATTGCATATGACTGTAGTTCATTCTCATTGCTTTATTCATTCCACTGTGTGAATAAACCACAGTGTAGTTAATCCACTGTACTGATGCAAGACCTTGGGATTGATCCCAGTGTGGGTGACTGTGGGTAGCTCTGTGGTGTTGGTTATATTCCTCAGAGAGGCACCACAGGGTTATTGGGTTTGCATATGTCCAGCTTTACTAAATGGAGTAGATCCTGCCAAACAATTTTCCAAAATGCTTATACCATCTGCTCTTCCAGGATCTGCCCCAGCCTGGTCTCTTGACTCTTCTGCCCTGGCTACTGTTTCTAACCAACTTCCAGTCTCAGACACTGTCCGTGGTCCTAGCCCTGACTTTGTTCCTGTCCTTGACTCCAGCCTTAAGGTTAGTCCTGAGCTTCAGGTGGGCCTTTCTTTTTCTCTCTCTTTCTTTCTTTCTTCTTCCTTTCTTTCTTTCCTCCCTTCCTTCCCTCCTTCCTTCTTTCTTTCCTTCTCTCTTTCTTTCAGAGTGAGGTTTTACATTTATTAAAGGTAACAAAAGAAACTTGCTCTGCAGAGCGAGTGTGGGCTGATTAAAAGTAGGAAAAGTAATGCACTTTGCAGGGTGAGAGCCGACCACTGGGAAACCGAGAACTCAGTGGTTGTGAGCTCAGTGGCCGCCATCTTTTGTATCTCCCGCTCCTCAGGTTGACGTCAGGTCTAGGCCGTCCTATCAGAAGCCTGCTTGAGTTCTCAGAAGAAGAATTGAAGAAAGCTCTCTCTGATTGGTCCCCAGTGCAGGGCTTTGGGAATTGTTTTGGGGCACACTTCCGGGATCTCCACGATTGACAGGTCACACCCACTTGCTCAGACAGTTTGCCACGCCCCTAATCTCCTGCCTCAATTCCCCTGAGACACACACATAAATCCCCATAATTCTTTGTTTTTGGTACTGGGGATTGAACTCGGGACCTTGCGCTTGTGAGGCAGGCGGCGGAACCACTGAGCTAATTCACCGGCCCTATAATTCTTTATGGCATGCTGAGGGTATGAAGGTCTGTCTTCATATAGCTGCTTCTGGCTAGAAGAGGCTGTAGACCCTCTGAACTAGGGATTATGTTCCCTCTAACTACCTTGGGATATTGTGGCTCACTGGCTGAGTTATCAGAAAACAATGAGAAAAGAATTAGTGTCTGTATGTGAAGGACTATTGAGCTGCCTGCTCGATGGGAGAAAGCTTGGTAAATTTGTCAGGAAAGTAACTTTTCGTTTTCCATGCTTCCAGTAGAGGAGAAAGTATGGCAAGGAGGGATGTTAGATAAATCACCAAAATGCTGAGAGTTGTGGCCCAGCAAGATCACCCACACTGTGAGTCTAATTAAAAACAAGAGCCTCAGTACAGGTGCCATTTAAGCTGTGGTGAAGTAGGGCTCATTAGTGGCTCTGCTTATCTCCACCAGGAGCCGTACTGGAGCCTTGCTTTTTGGTCCTGGGGATCGAACTCAGGACCTTGCACTTGCTACCACTGAGCTAGATCCCCGGCTGGAGCCTTGCTTTTTGAAGACGAGCCTCGTCTTCCAGAGGTTCATAAGAACAGCTTTTTTTCATTTGGGTGGTCTTTTTCTCCAGACAGTTCAGGTGGAGCTAACTTTATAATTTCCAGTCCTCCCGAGGGTACGTCCCTCTCCCCTGGACAGGCTCTAACAAAGGAGCTGGTCCAAAATTGCCAGGGTTGACAGGCAAGCTTTGCAGACCTGCTGGGTAAAGGTTGCTGCTAGTCCTAGTCCTGTGAAAATTCAAGTGACATTTCACATGTAGGATTTTTATAGTTTGCTACTGCATCCTTTGAGGAAAAGCCAGACCAATGGTTCCTTGGGACCTGGGAATAAGGCTAGAGTCTTGAGGAGTTGAAAGGCTGCCCTTCTTACCTCTCTATCAGCCTTTTGATTTCCCAAGGAGACTTCAGATATGTCTCTTTGGGGTCCCTTGCCATGAATGACAGCAACCTGCTTGGGAAGATAGATTGGCTCTAGGAGTTGTAGAATTTCTTGCTTGTGTTTTATTTTATTAATTAGCAAGATGCTTTCTTTCCAAATTGCAGTATAGACATGTCACTGCCCCAGTAAGGGCTATGAGCTCTGCTTTTTGAACAGAGGCCCATGGGGAAAGGGGTTTGTTCTCAATGACCTGTTGTGAACTGACAACTGCACAACCTGCCTTTGGATGTCCTTCTTGGACA